GATCCTCGTGAGGATACGATTCTTTTCGCTCCGTTCACGGAAACGGCGATCGCTTCGTGGCAACCACAAACGAATCAACAAAGGTAAATATTGAAAATTATTGTTTAGAATTTTTAATTTATTAAGGTATTGAGATTATATATTGTGCAAATATTACTGGGTATTATAGAAAATTATTGGATATTATAGAAATTGTGGCTTGTTTATTAAATTATAAGCAATTTATGTTGGACGAAGTGAGACATGAGTCTCTGTCTCACTCATTTAATGCAATACTTATGATTGTTTGCAACTAAATAAACAAGCTATCGATATTTTTGTGTTTGTTGTTGTGTCTCTAAAATCAATTCTTCAAAAATGTTTCGTAAATATGTTAACATATTGTATATAAATCCATGAAGATAAACAGTTTATATAATAAGAAGTCTGAATGGTGGATTTCTTTAAACATTCAATTTTTATCTAAATTATTTTTCAATATCGATAATTAAAATATTATAAAATATTCAGATTATGAATTAATGAGACATATCTTTATATCATAATGATAATGGCTTTTATAATCAAATTGAAGTAATACCAATATCTCGATTTTTTAATCAATTTATCTTCTTATATTTTACCTTTAAAATGTAAACTTCTATAAATTGAATGGTACATTATTACTGTTTTTAATGTAAAGATATGTTCTGTGCATATAAAAATGATGAATTAATTATTTTATTTTGTAATCATAAAATTAATGTAAAAATGAATTGATACATTAGATCTTTTTTTAAGTTTATTTTAATTTTAATTTTTTCAGAATTCTTAGAATATTATCATTTCACAATCTAAAACAAAAAAGATCTTTTAAAATAAAATGACAAATGACAATTTGAGATTTTTTATTTTTCAAATAACGATAACAATTTTTTTTTTTAGAATTCTAGCCTACACTCCAGAAAAATTGCAATTCGTCGCTGAAATTCGATGGGCAGAACGCGATAATGGCAACATTTGGGTGATGTCCACCAAGTTTCAGAAATTCTTCAAGCAAGAAGTAAATGCACGCGATATTAATATTCGAATAATGAGGCTAATATCCATGCAGCAATCGACTCATAAAAATCCAATTCTCAATTCGTTTGCGCAATCATATTTTCCATCGCAATTCTACAACAATACGATAAACGTATTTTAAAAAATGAAAGAATTTAAAATTAAATCAAAAAATAGTTAAATAATTTAAGAGATAATTCTTCGATTAAAATAAAATGAAAATCAAGAATAAAAAAATTATGTTTGAAATTTTATAAATTTTTTTGATTTTTGTTTTATTTTAAAGTGAAGAAATCTTTAAATTTCGTACATCTATAATATAATCATAATATAATAATAAATTTTTCTAAAATTTTGTAAAATGATAAGATTAAATTAATTCGGGTAAAAGAAATTCTTATATATTTTTTTTATCAAATTATCTTCTTAAAAAAAAAATTAAAATGTTATAGAATTGTAATTCTTTAAAATAGATGTTGATAGAAGGATAATAGAAATAAAAAGATATAGAGAATCAATACAAATAGAAATTTGTTAGATTTCTATAACAATAATTTTGTATAAATGTAGTACTTTTATATTTTTTAAGAAATACTGTTACTTATACAATCAATTTGAATTTGTATTCTTGCAGATGATATCATATTTATATAAAATATTAAAAAATTATAATATTTTCAAAACTTTTATAAATTATAAATCATAAAAACTGTGAAATCAATATTCTGTAGAAATCGTTGAAAACAGATAAATTACTTGTCAAAATCTTAAGAAAATACATAAACTCACTATGCATTATTTCTATATTATATAAGTAATAAATTTCTTGAGAAACAGAGAATTTAGAAATTATAATTATGAAATCATAATGGAAATTTATGCAAAAGAGCTTACACATGTATATACAATCGTCATTTTATTCTTACGTTTATCCACGAGCAAAACATAAATAATCAGCTGCTTAAAAAATTCTTCTATCAAATTATTGATGCAAGATGTTTGTATTCATTCATCATAATCAGTAAATTATTATTGGAAAATGCGTTAAATGTATATTATTATTCATATATTTTAAAGGAAGAAAAATTTATTGCTGGATATCAGTTTATTGACATAAAGAAAAATATAATAGGATCATTATTGCAATCAGATAAGATTCTTAGTTGAATGAAATCTATGAATACAGGCATAAAATATAATAGATATTTAACTATGTGTTGAATCATTATATTCAAATTAATTAAAGTAAGAATGCTTGTATAAATTTACATTTTTATATACATGTGTACAGGAATAAAGTATGAACAAAGATTTATTTAATTCTTTAAATATCTTAGATATTTTTGCATATTGTGTTTTGTACATTTTTTTTTAAATTTATAATTTTTTACATATATTTATAGAAATTAAATATATATTAAGATTTATTTCTTCGTTCTTTAAATATTTATTGAATGTTTTATTTATCTTGTATTTGCAAAATATTGTAGTTTGTAAAATTTACAAATTTACATCTTTGTAAAACAATAAAGATCTTGTTTCATTCTTTAAATAATTCTTTAAATATTTTGAATATTTTTACATTTTTATCTCTATTGTGTTTTTCATTTTTCATATTTTATTTGTCTTATTTTTTTTACAAGTTTATTTTATTTTTCTGTACATATTTTATACATACAAATATAATAATAATAAATATATATTCATTATATATTTTAATTATTTTTACATCTTACATTTATCTTGTACATTATGCAAATTTTATTTCTTAAATAAAATTTTAGATATTTTTGTATATTATATTTGTCCTCTACATTTTTTTTTTGCAGATTTAAAAAGACTGAATATAAATAAAGATTTATTTTATTCTCCAAACATTTTATCTTGAACATTTGACATTTTATATATTTTCACATCCTGTATTCAATTTTCTATCTAATTTTAAAATCTCCATAAATATAAACATAGATATAAATATACATCGTGTAAAATACAACTAGTAATTATAGATAATAATAGACACTAAAAATAACAGATAACGAATAATTAATTGAAAAATATGGTAATAAAACATGATTTAAGTTCGATTAATGAAACAATGTAGCAATCACAATGTGAGAATTTCAGTTTGAAAACCGAGAATATCCAGTTTTTAATTCGTAATTAATTTTCAATGCACAAATAATAACTGATAAAAAAATCTTAATAATCTTAATTTGAAAAATAGTACACCAATTGTCTCAGATTTATCATTTTCAAATTTAAAGATAACAATATTTTCTATTCGCAAAAATTAGATATTTCTAAAAATCACATAGGACAAAAATGTTAATAAAAGTGTCGATCAATGATTATTTGAAAGGTTAAATTAATCATATTGTGATATGTAATATATAGAAATATTATTCAATTGATAAAAATATTTTAGATTTTCTCTGATTTTTTCGAATAGTAAAATATATTTATAATGAAAGTTATGAAAATATAAATTAAGAATAATTGGAAATTGGCCTTAATAAAAGAAGAAAAGAAAGTAAGAAAAAAGTAAATTATAATAAACGATAATTGTAAATATTACCAGTTGAATAATAGATAATACTCTAATCAAGATGTAATCTATTATAATTTATTCGAGATATTAAACTATTTTTAAAAGATATACTCGAAACTAACATAAACATAAATAATTTCGTTCCTTAAATAGATATTATATTTTTCTCGAAAAGTATGCGACATTAATTCATTATTACAATAATTTGTTTTAATATTAATTTAGTATAATTGATTTTAAATTTATTTTAATGAAAGAAATAAATATATCCATCTTCATATAAACTAATAACTAATTTTTCAATTTTTCGTAAACAATTATACATTTTCCTCGAAAAATACGTGACACTAATTTATTACACAATATAACACGTATCACTGTTCATAACTTATTTTAACAAAACAATACATATCTACCAATAAATAATACTAATATCTTCAATTTTCTCGAAACAGCTTCACATTTTTTTCACGCGACACTAATTCATAGGTACCAATATTAAAAAAATGGCGGGATTTACCCATACGTCGTTGACCTCCTTCGACACAGATGTATTTAAGCAACTGATTATCAACAAGTCGGTTGAAATTCTGCGATCTTACAACTCGGTTACGTGACCGTGACTAAAGTGATCGCAACACTCGAAGGAATTCTCTCTCGATCTTCGTTTTGAGTGGTACTTGATTCACGATCATCGGCTCAGTCGATGATCGAGCGTGGTGGCGCGAGCATCGCGATTGAAAAGTGAATTTATCTCCGTTTTTTAAGACTTGCTGAAAATTTTTTAATTTTATCATCTAATTTCGCGTATAATTTATTTTTTAAATTCGAAATTTCGAAAAGAATATTAATAATAACATAATATTAATTATGGAATGAAATTAATAATAGAATAATTATAAGAAAAATTGTGATAATCTTGAAATATTTTGAAATATTGTCAATGAATTATATTTATATTTTATAAAGGAATTTAAATTGTATTTCTTTTTATTCTTTATTTTATTCTTTTTTTTATTTTATTCTTATTTTTATTCTTTTTTTCAAGTTCATTTTTTGAAAGAGAAGAATTTTAATCAATAATTGGTAAGATTTTGTCTGATTATCTTCAACTTTCTGTTTAAAAATATAAAATCTCATTAAATAGTAACAATATAGACATTTGCCAAGATATCTTATTTTTTTATCCATTTCAAAATTTTTTATTTTGAGTTTTGTCATACATGACAAAATTTAGATATAAAGATAATTGAAATATTGTTGGTTTTGATAAAAGAATAATGAAAATTTAATTGATGGATTTTTTTTAAATATTAAACTTATTACTTTCTTCTTATTTATAAATTAAATATATAATTTTTCAAATAAAAATAAGCGATTACAATTTCTAAAATGATCACAGAAAAATAGAAGAAGTAATTTTTAAAGTTAATTATACGATCGAAGTTTAATTTCAATTTCGAAGATAATCACAAAAAGAAAAATAATAATACAATTACGAGTTAAGAAGCGTGAAAAAGTCAGTGGTATAATTCAAAACTGGATATAATCGCATTCTTAACAACTTTTATCGAGAAGTCTTTAGTGGTGAAAGTTCTGGTGAGTGACACTAAAAAGAGATTATATTCGCGACAAAACGAGCGACAAGGGTGAAGGAAGTGGTTTACCCTATTTCACAATTTGATGGTAAATTTCCAAATGAATTTTTTAATTATTGGAACGTAATTGTTTCATTCGTTCAGGTGATAAACAATTGAATTATTATTGGATTTTACGTAAAATTGGATTATTTATTAGTTATATAGAATTGGATTTTACGATAATTGAATGTGTTTTTAATTAATTTTAATTTTCGAAATATGATACGTAGAAGTTATTCAAATATTTTTGGAAAAGAATGTATAAGGGTGTGGATATATCTGAGAATAAAATTTTCGAGAATATTTTGTACAAATGTGGATATTGAGACAAAGCGATTTTCAATTTCAAATGATGATGAACACTCATCTTCAGAAAAAATAAGAGAAAAAAATATTATTAAATTATAAGAAATTAATTAATTTAGTAAATTTGAGCATTAATCATGAATTACTAAAAATAATATTTAATAATTAATACTTGATATTTAAAAATTAATGATTATCATTGTATAATTACTAATAATTAGTATTTAATAATAAATTATTAGTTAATTGATAATAGATTGGCTAATTAGATAATTATTAGTTGGACGTCGACTGGAAAAAAAACTATTTTTTAATATTTTTAAATATTAGAAAACACAGAAATAAATTTTATTTTATTGACATTTTATTGGCATATTTTTAATGACAATTTTATTTTCGAAACCTTTCAAAGAATCTATAAAATAGACGTTATTTTGATTATAATCAATGTTATTTAAATGATTCAAAGTTAATGAAATTTTTATTTATTAAAAAATACTTGGAACTATTATCCGTGATTTCTTTTTTCTCGATTTAATTATGTACAATAAATACTTTTTCTAATTTCATAAAATTAAATCGATTTCTAATCGATATTTCGTAAAAATTTTTTTGCAATTCTTACATTTTATCGTGTTTAAAAAAAACATGTTCATCAATATTTCAATATCAACGGAGGAACATAAAACACGAAAACAATAATAGTTAAAACATTCTAAAAATTAAAATTCAAAATAATTATGAGATAAAAATTTTTCTTAGAAGATAAGAAATTACGTAATGCATTTCATAAATTGTCACCCAACAATTTATTTTCTCTAACATAATCGTAAAATATCTGATTAAATCATATTTCCAACAATTTTGTTTTGTTTTTATTTAGATGAAACAATTTTATTTCTCGGCCGTCTTATTCCTCTTGGCAATTGCCGATTCACAAGCACAAGAAAAGCTGAAGAACATCTACTCATGGAAAGCTTTGGAATTTGCCTTTCCAAACGAATTTGCCAAATTGGCCGCTAATAAAAATGGATCTTATATTCCTGGTGTTTCGCTACCCATCGACGTTGATGTCTATAACACAGGTACAAAAGAAATAAATAATAATAGCATAACAAAGCCTGTATCTATATTCGATTTAAATTTAATCTTAAATTAAAAAATGATAAGATTATATTCCAATCATGATCATAAGGAAGATAGATATAATAGTTAGAGAAAATTATAGTAAAGTTATAACGAAATAATAGTATAATTGCAAGAATTGAAATTTCTGTAATTTTTATTTTATTCTCTCTGAAAATAATATTGATCAATTAACGACATTCTCCTGCATCTTTTGTTGATTTTATCAGAAGAATGTCACCAATCAATTCTGAAAAGCCATTTAAAATAAAACGAAAGTTTATTGAAATAAAAACTTTTCAATTTTTTTCAATGTTTAATCTTATTTATTTTTTATAAGAGATGCAAATATTAAATAAAACACTGACAAGTTTAAATTATTACAATTTAGTATTAAATTTTATCTGTTCAAATTTAGGTTACATTAAACTTTAAGATGAGTTTGGACGATTGTTATTATTTTATTCCAGTTAATATTATTTCCAAAAGATTGAATGATTTAAAAAATTTATATTTTTTTATATTATTACATATATTCATTATTTCAAGAACAACAATCAACAGTGTTTGTGGCCATTCCAAGGATTCAAGATGGTGTGCCCTTAACTTTAGGTTATGTCACCAAAGAAATATCAGTGGATGGAAATCCATTAATAGCCCCGTATCCAAGTTGGAGTTACAATGATATGAAATATTGTGATGGACTCACCAGTGTATATAGAATGCAGGTATTTTTTTTTTTTTTCTATTTAAACGTTTAAAACTTGGTAAATTTGCTATTTCAAAAAATTGTATGATTCCTTCTCAACTGTCGCTATGACACATTAATGTGAAAACAATGATTACACATTTATGACTTATTTGATTTACCTCTAACACGTAATTATGTAATTATATATCTCTCTTTATTTAATGTGAGAGTGTCGCGTCTTAAATGGATAATTCCTAACAGTTAATAATAAATAAGGAAATTCCCATATTTATTCATGCATTATTTGAATTGAAATCATTAAATGATAACGTATCAACGAATGATTATTTATACATAATTTCTAATTTAGTTTTGTGAATAAAAATATACAATATAAATAAATATTCATAGCGTATTGTGTTATAACAACATTTTTCTCGGTGAAAATTTTAAAATATATAAATATGATAGCAAGAAAAAGACATGTAATAAATGAAAAGTTAAAAATATTTTCTAGAATGGATTATGAGTTCAAACATTTCAAATTCACTGGTATTCAGAAAATATTTACCGGCGTTTCTAATGCAAAATAAAATTATTTATAATTTAATAAAATAAACTTTAATCTATTCTTCTATGTACATGAACTTTTACATTCCGAGTCTAAAATCTTTAAAAATCGCTTGATATATATATATATATATACTATTTGATATATATATTATTGTATATTGTATGGTTATGATTTCCATAAGTTTGATTAGGCTACCATCTAAGAAACAAACATGATTTTCTTTCTTTAGATAAATTCATTAGCTCGATTATTTTTTAATTAAAAGAAATATTTTATAAAACCTAATATCTACTTACTTTTTACACAGATAGACAAATGTGGACGACTATGGGTCCTTGACACAGGAATATTAGGAGAAAAACAAATATGTCGGCCAAAGATTCATGTCTTTTCTTTACGTGACAATAAATTAATCACCATGTACAGATTTCCCCAGAATCAGTTCAAAGAGAACTCTCTATTCGTCACTATAGCTGTAGATATTCGAGACACAGAAGACAAATGTAAAGATACGTTCGCCTATATTGCTGATGTGACAGGATTCGCGTTGCTCGTCTACGATTTACGAAATTCAAGATCGTGGAAAATCACGAATAATCTATTTTATCCATATCCACCGTATGGCACATTCAATATCAAAGGTGATACGTTCGACCTGATGGATGGAATCCTTGGCCTCGCTTTGGGACCCATTCGTAACAACGACAGGATACTTTACTTTCATTCGTTGGCCAGCAGAGTCGAATCATGGGTGCACACTTCTGTGATTAGGTTAGTTATGGCGCTGGTAACACTTTCGGTAATCAATTAAAAGAACTATTGAGAAGTAGATTCATCGTGCAAAATTAATTTTGATTTTTAACCAAGCAGAATATATTATAATTATCGTTATACTACTTCATTCTTGATTCTGTAAAATATTTATTTAAATACATTTTATAAATTGATATTTTCAGCGTAAAAAACTATTAGATACATTTTGTATAAAAATCAATTAATTTCAAAATTTGATTAATTTTGTAACTTGAAAATTGATAAAGTAAATTGTAAAAGTAATTCGTAACAAAAAATTAAATTATTAAAATATGCAAAAAATAGTATATTATCTTTATTATTATTGTTATAGAGTATTTAGACTATTAGACTATTAAATGTTTTCTATAGAATAAATAATTTTTTGATAAAATGAAAAAAAAAATAGTAAAATATTTAATTTAATTTAATAATTTAATTCTTAAATTATTCACTGTTTTGTCGATAAATTTCTATTATTATTATATAATTTCTATAAACACAATTATTCTTTCTAACCTAGAAATTACACTCTTTTCAATGAGAATTCCGAGGCTGCCGCAAGATCATTCGTACCATTCTCAATTGAAAGATCTTCGCAGTCTGTCGCCGAAGTTATGGATCGTAACGGAGTACTTTTCTTCGGATTGTTATCTGATCTAGCGATTGGATGCTGGAATAGCGAGCATTTTATCGAATACGGAGGAAATAATATTGAGATAATCGTCAGAGATCCAGAGACGTTGCAGTTTCCGTCTGGCATGAAGGTACATATATATAATCTGATATTGGTAATTATTATGTTTAAAATACAAGAAAAATCATTTCATTGATTTTGTTGAGCTTGAAATGTATTATCATTTTCAATGACATTTTTCTATTCGTGTAAACGTTTTATTTTTCGAAATGTAAATATATTTTCGATATCATGTTTCAAAAGTAATATATAAGATCTCCGTAATACATAAGATAGTACTATTATAAATAAAAATTATTTTCGAGTTGAAGCTTTTATAACTGAAGATGCGTTGTAAACTTGGTATTTTCCTAAATATAATAGGAAATATAAAGAAGAAATAAACTTTCAATCTATACATCGTATTTCTGAATTTGAAATTTTAGGTTAAGATTAAATAGATTAAGTTAGATTTTGATTGAGTTTAGACTGACGAACTTTTAATTTACATATTGTACTTCTAAGATTTGAAATAGATTAGAAATAGATTTAGGATGTATCCAGAATAGATTTTTGGTTATATATATCTTCTAACTAATAATTGATCAAGTTTTCATACTAATACATATATATATATATATATCTTGTTTTAGATCATAACATCCAAAAAAGATAGACAAGAATTGTGGGTCTTCACGATATCATTTCAAAAATACATGAGTGGTACTTTGAATTCCGACGAGATCAACTTCAGAATCCAAGCTGGATTTGTAGATGAATTAGTTCGTGGCACTAAATGTGATGTGTCTAGCTCAGGTCGCTTTATATCTCAATGAGGATCATGGCGCCACGAGCAATTCTCCAATCACTATTATCATAGTTCCTGGCCATCGTGGCGGCACCCGATTTTCAAGAGTACACCATTTTTTATAAACGATTATTTCGAATCGTATTATTCTCGAAATTACTTTAGGAATCATCATTATCATTATCATAGTTATTTGCAAAATCCTTTTAATATTAATACCGCAAGTGCGTATTCTTCGTGGATCAATAACGAAAGATTTTAAGATAAATTGGAAAAATTCAAATTAGAGAAAGATGAATGAAATTGTGATTATCATATTAATCAGGAAAGAAGTAATTATTTTAAAAGAAAATATCGATTGAGAATGAGTTTTTATTGTTGCTCGTGGTGCTGTTTTTATATTTTTACAAAAATTTTATTTCAAAATAGCAGAATCAGATAAAAAAATAACCATGAGGATTGTATTATTGATTTATTTATCAATTATTATTTATTTACCCATATTTATTAAGTTAGTTTATTTATTTGTTTATAGAATATTTTATTTCTAGTTTTTGTACTTTTACTAGTTATTACTATTAAAATTTAAAATAAAATTTTGATAAAATAAAAATAATTTCAAATAAATCCAATAATTAAGAATTAAGAAGAATTAATGAAATTTGATAAACACATTGTTATAAAAATAAAAAAAACATATATAGAATAGAAAATATTTTGACCAGAAATAAAAATAAGAGATAGAAGTTATTATTATATAAAATGTAATTGATAGAAAATAAAATATAAATTAAAATAATGTATTATTCATGAAATTTGGACAAGAACAAGTTTTTAGAAAACAACTTGATAAAATATGTTGAAAGGATTTCTTAACATGAAATAATATTATTAGAATGAAAAGAAAACATCATGTCAAGCATACAATCTCGTTTATTATATTTTAAATATTTTTATTAAATTTAAAATTTATTTTTACAATAATGTTAAAATAAATATAAAAAAAAAATATTTTTTCAAATTATAATTTAATAGTATTTATCATATAAGATAGAAATGGAAATAAAAAAATAATCTTTTTTTTAAACACTTTTTGTGATATTTATTTGTACAACTTAATATATATAAATAAATTTTATATAAAATTATATAATTTATTATTGAAGTTATTTTATTTTCACACGTATTTTTGTGTATTATTGTGTATTTATGTATTTTCTAGCATAGTATTGATTTCACAATTCCTATATATCAAAGAAATGCTTTAAAAAAATAAAAAAATAATTTACAACTTATAAATAATTTTCTAACCTATATTTCTTATATTTTTTTCGCGTTCTAGATAAAATATTAATATAAAATGCGTTAATATATTCATGGAATATCTTTAAAACAAGTACAGAAGTTAATATCGTTTATTTATTATGTTATAAGCAATTTTATATACTAATATAACATAACTTTATATTTCTAAACCGACCTTCTAAAGGAACATATTAATACGTCTCATTTAATATGTCTGTACGAATAGCAGACAAAATAGGTTATGCGTTAATTTTATTTACAATTCTAATGATTCATTCTGATGATTGGTTTCGAACATTTTCGACTACAATTTCGAATATAGCACATTCACAGTCAATGAGTAAATATGACAATAATTAATTTTCAGAAGTCAGAATATTTCATCAATCCACATGAGCACTAAAGCAATGATTTTTCGAACTCATAACACTCACTGTTTTATATATATAATTTTATAATTTTTTGTCTATGTATATGTTCATATAATTCTAATAAACGTGCAAAACCATGTATCATATAATAATCATAACTTTCAAAATAATTAACATTAAATTGATCAAAATGATGAATAATTAAAAATTGTTTTAATTTGATTGTGATCGATTTATCAAAAGCCAAAAATTATTCAATATAAATTTTATATTTTAAAAATTTTATCTTTTCTAAAAGCATAAAAATTGATATATTGATAATTTTAATTAACATATCTCTATCGTCATTTAAAAAGAAATATTTTGGTTATATTAATTTTTCACATATATGATAATAAGATAGAAAAAGATAAGACAAGTAATTATTAGTCATTTTATGCTATGTACAATCGTTTCTGTCAAATACAAATAAATTTCATGAAAATTATCATTATGATTAACGGTGGCGATATTAGATATTTGTTTCAAATAATCGAATTGTCATATTTTTTGACAAACATAAAAAGACATATTGCGATCATTCTCTATATGAAAATTAAAATAATTATACATATTTGTGTAAAGTGATAGCAAATATTATTAAATATTAAATTATAGAATCTATTTTACAAACAAATGTTTGATAGAAAAATAGATAAATAAAATTAAAATAATTATAAAATCGGAGAATATGACTAAGAATAATGAGACTCTTCAAGTTATTATTTGTTTGAAAGTCAAGAAAATTTTACCAATTTTTATATATGCTCATCCCATTATACGTGAATATATGTTGGTTTATTTTAACAAAAAGTTTAAAATGATAATTTAAATCTCCATGAAATAAATTAATGAAATAAACGATGTTTTCTATGATTATTCTATTTTTAGAAATAGAATAAATTACTCTTCATACTTTCTCTTGGATCTAATTATTATCGCGATTAATAGTAGAACTATATATGAAGCGAGACACAAAGAAAAATGACTGTGTAATATATCAAATAAACGAAATTTTGTAAAGTTTTTACTATTTCTTTAGAGAATATAAATCATACTTGTCACATTCTTGAAAAATATCCAACAAAATTTCGAAAAAAAAAAATTTATTTTATCTCTGTGAAATACACGTCATTACAACCTATATATTGACCAACAGTTAGTCAAAATTCTTGCAGTTTGCATACATACTGTGTTGCTTCGTCACTCGGAAAATATCCTAGGTAAGTTATGTTATTACTTCATTATAATATTTATGTGCAATTTTTCATTTATCTGACAAGACGGAATATTTTGTAGAAAAATGACAAAGTGGTTGTTGCTGGTGGTGTGTCTTGGTATAGCTTGTCAAGATGTCACAAGCGCCGCTCATCAAAAAAAATCTTCAGAAGATTTGGCACATTCGATGAAGGTGATTTACGAATGGAAACATATTGATTATGATTTCGGTAGCGAGGAAAAAAGACAAGCTGCGATTCAATCTGGAGAATATGACCATACGAAAAATTATCCCTTCGATGTGGACAGATGGCATGGTAAAATATCCTTTTTTTAAATTAATTTTGCTCGTAGAAATATTTGAATATTCCAATATTCTTTCTAATATTCAATAATAATTTTCATCATTTTACAGTTTTTGCATCATTGTACAAATATTCTACGTTTTGTATTTTTTGTTTAAGATAAGACATTTGTCACCGTAGAAAGGTTCAATGGTGTGCCTTCTTCTCTAAACGTAATAACTAATAAAAAAGGTAAAGGTGGACCTCTTCTACAACCTTATCCCGATTGGTCGTTTGCCAAGTACGAAGATTGCTCTGGAATCGTGAACGCTTTCAAAATTGCGGTAATTGAACATTTTTTTCTATGATTATCTTCAGAATTAATTTTTCATTTCAAAGAAAAAGTAAATTCATTTATCTTATGATTTTTAGATCGACAAGGTCGACAGATTATGGGTTCTGGACTCAGGTCTTGTCAATAATAATAATCTCATGTGCTCTCCAAAATTGCTAACCTTTGATCTGAATACCTCAAAATTGCTTAAGCAAGTCGAGATACCTCATAATATTGCCGTAAATGCCACCACAGGAATGGGAGAATTAGTATCACTAGCTGTTCAAGTTATAGATCCTACGAATACTATGGTGAGAAATAAAAGCAATTAAACTAAATAAAAACAATCAAATTCCTTTTCTTAGAAATATTTTATTTTACTTTTACATTTGGTTATTTCCTATATAATGGAAATTCTCTATGTGGCTTTAATAAAATCCGTAACTTTTAAAATAATATTTTGCAAATAATTCTAACACAATTTATATTTACTATACACTATACATTGTTTCATTTTTAAAAAATAAAAGAAAAATTGATTTTGTAGTTTTTTCTGACATCTTCCTTACTAAAAAGATGTCACAGAATATTAGATTTTCTTCTGAATCACTAATTTTTGAAATATATTAGCAAAAATATATGTATTTTTTATGTTCTTTTAATTCGGATCATTGTTATCATGTATTTATATATTTATGAATTAATAATCAAGAATTGATTTCAAAAGAATTGATTTTAAAGAAAAAACATTTTCTAAATTAAAAAATTACGATCTTCCTTAAAAAATTCACATATACACAAATTCACATTCTGCAAAATCGCCTGCAGCATATTAAAATTTATAAGAACAGATATGAAAATTACAAAATCAAGAAAAAGTTGAAATTTATCGAAGTATTATTAATTACTATATATTATTATAATAATCATACTATGATAATAATGATAATAGGTATACATAGCAGACGAAAGAGGTGAAGGTTTAATCATTTACCAAAATTCCGACGATTCCTTCCATCGATTGACTTCCAACACTTTCGATTACGATCCCAGATATACCAAACTGACAGTCGCTGGAGAAAGTTTCACAGTTAAAAATGGAATTTGTGGAATTGCACTTAGTCCCGTGACGAACAATCTTTATTATAGCCCTCTTGCTTCTCACAGTTTATATTATGTTAACACGGAACCCTTCATGAAATCACAATTTGAAGAAAATAACGTGCAATATGAAGGGTAAATATAAAAATAATTTTTTAAATTTTATGAAATAGAATAGTTAAGTATACTTACTATTGCTATTACTGAATAGTTATTATTAAATAATCTATTAATATTTCAAATTTTTCCCTATGAAATGTTTTCAATATTAAGAAACACTGTTAAAACAAAACGAAAATAGAATTTTGTCTCTATCAGACTACCACCTTTAAATTTAAATTGCTTATAATCTAATAAAACGATATTAACATTTGTTATAGAATTGATGTTTCAGTTATGTTTCACAGCATTTTATATATTCTTGGTTAATTGCACATTCCTTATTAATTTCAGATCCCAAGATATTTTGAACACTCAATCATTCGCTAAAGCAGTATCAAGAAATGGCGTCCTCTTTGTCGGACTCGTGAGCAATTCAGGTGTTGGCTGCGTGAATGAGCATCAAGTACTTCAGAAAGAAAATTTCGTTAGTATTTTTTTAATCTTTCTTTTCCTTACACTTTTTAATACTTTCTTGATTTCACATTTTTTCCTATCACACGTCACTATCACTAGTATTAAATGTGACTTTCCGCACGAGAACAAAACATTCACTACTAGATTTGGCAGAAATGCGAGTCACGTGACAAAACGCTTGTTTTTGATGGAAAGTCACGTGACATATAACAAAGTGGGGATAATGTAACCACTTATTCTTTTCATACAGAAATTCGAAGTGCGATATTTAGTGAAGATAACAATAAATCTGTTTCTAGATTTATATAAGTTATCATCTTCTTACAAACTAATCTTTTTATTTAATTTTATTTTTTTCTTTATTTTCTTTAAATAAATAGCTTGTTACTTAATTTCTTTCATAAAACTATATTTACATTAATTATTTTTTAATCGGCCAATTGAAATTATTTATTATTTTATATTTATGATTTTGAATTGATTAAAATTATACAAACTTATGTTAAGTATTTTAAGTTGATCAATTCGATAGTCAAATTAGAAATTATTTAATATAAACGTGGTTCTTTACGTATATAAGGAAATTATAAATATAATATTTAAAGTTGACAACATTTAAATAATTGAATTTATATAATTTATGTTTTCATAGTAACAAATGTTTCTTAAAAAAAAGCTATAATTAAAAATGTAACTATTTTGAAATTACAGGATGTTGTCGCTCAGAATGAAGAGACACTTCAAATGGTTGTTAGTATGAAAATCATGCAAGATCGCCAACAATCCCGCAGAATTAATAAGTCTCAAAGGAATGAATATATGTTGGCTTTAAGTAACAGAATGCAGAAAATAATAAACAATAATTTTAATTTCGACGAAGTAAATTTCCGAATTTTGGGTGCGAATGTAAACGATTTAATAAGAAACACTCGTTGCGTAAATTCTAACAATCAGAACGCTAACAATCAGAATGCTAACAATCAAAATGCTAACAACCAGAATGCTAACAGTCAGAATGCTAACAACCAGAATGGTAACAAGCAGAGTGATAACAAGCAAAATGGTAACATGCAAAATGATAACATGCAAAATGGTAACAAGCAGAATGATAACAAGCAGAATGGTAACAGACAGAATGATAATAGGCAGAATGGTAACAGGCAAAATGGTAACAGGCAAAATGGTAACAGGCAAAATGGTAACAGACAGAATGATAATAAACAAAATGATAACAGGCAGAATGATAAGAGGCAGAATGATAATAGACAGAATGATGATAATCAGAATAATCAGAATGGTAACAATCAAAATGATAATCAAGTTCGTCATTCTTCAAAATCACATTAAATCAATTACATTAAATTAATTAGAATGTAAACCAAATTATTTTTTAAAATATTTTCTCGATGTAAATTAAATTTTTCAAAATCTTTTCACATTATATTATAAATAAATAAAATAAATATCGTTTTCGCATAATACTTTTCAATTTTATTACCCTACTTTTAAAAATTATAATAAATTATAAAAAAAAATATAGAAATTAACATATACTTGTATTATTTATATTTCTAACATTATATTCAATATGAATGAGTGAATGAATGAATGAGTGTCGTAAAGTAATAGATAAAATAATAAGTAAAAGTTAAATAAAAAAATTTGAAGGAAATGATTTGTAATGAGACATAGAATGTGGAAAAAAATTGTATTATTTAAAATAAAAGATATCATCGTTTTAAACAACTTTATTCGTAAAGTACATAACGATACTTCATTGATTTCATCTCTAATTTAAACCTTCTTTGACAATTATCCCAACATTAATATATTTTGGTAATTATTGCCTAAGTAGAATAGAAAGAAAATATTCTTTTATATTAGTTTTCTTTTATATTATGTATTTTAATTCTTTATTTATTATTCATGATTGAGATTATCACTTACTAATGAGCAGGTATTCTCTCTACTATTAAAAGTAGCCAAAGTTAAGCGTTGTATCGTGTCATGTAACGTGCCTCTGTTTGTAATATACCAATGGTAATGGAAATAAATGATTCTTCTACCAAATTTGTCACAGGGGAATTGAGCTAGTTTTAATAGTAGAAAAAATAGAATACTGAACATAGATAGAAAAAATAATATGTTCAAAATTAAACAGTTTTGATTGGATTAACATTAAAAATTATTAACATTAAAAATATTATATCATAAATATATCAAAAAAATGCTTTAACAAAAATAAAAAATTATTTATAATTTATAAATGATTATTTTTTTTAACCCATGATTATTACTCTTTTTATTTATTATCGAATATTATCTAGATCAAGCATTAATATAGGATAATATTTTGAACATCTTTAAAAAATTGGTTCTTTAGATTAAAAGAAGTATAAATGTTAGTTATTTATTATTAAATCATAAGGAATTTGAATTTTCATTAAATGGAAAGATATAAGTAAAATGAAACAATTTGTATTTGTCATGTTTCACTTTATCTTTGTAACGCAATTAACATTAAATTGTTTATAATATAATAAATAAGCTTCAATCGATACTTTTATACATTGCAATTTTTACGTTCTTTTTTTTTTTACTTTTAAATCGATTCTTCAAGAATATCGTTTATATGTTTGTTGCGACAGATGTATACAATAGACTTTCTTTTATATTTTTATATTAGCTATTAGTAAATCATTATATCTTCAAATATTCTTTTTTTTTCTTTTTTAATAATCTCTAATTCCTATGTGTTATATAAAACCATTTATATTTAAAATTTTATAAACATACATTTTTTCACAATATTATTATAATAATAATATAATAATAACAGTAATCGATGTTGAATTGATCAAGATCATGATTAAATAATTAAATATTTTTTTATTAACTCGGTTATGAAATCATATATTTATTTATTTTTTATTTAAATATAAATTTTTTAATTTTAAAAATTAAGTTCTTCTAAAGTCATGTAAAAATTTATGCATATTAAATTAACAATTTAAACTTGTTAAATTAACAAGTTTTTATCGCCATTTAAACAAAAATATTTTATATCAGTTTTTATATTAATTATATTAGTTTTACATGATATGATAAAAATGTAGAAAAAAATTAGAAGCGTATATTAATCATTTTTCTGAGATAGTAAGTTTGAGGTACAACATACAAGCATAGTGATAGAGTATAGTGATATTAATCACTAGCAATACAATCATTTATTTATCTATTTTTAAATTTCTTTAATTATTTATTACTTTTCTTTTTTAATTATTTATTACTTTTCATTTTTCAATTAAATGATTTTAATTGAATTTTTTTTCAAACATAAAAATATATTTTAATCATTTTTTATGAAAATCAAATAAAAGAAAATTAATATTTATTATGTATATTATTATATTATATATTTATTATTATGAGGAATGGTAGTAAATATATTAAATCATCGAATCAATTAAATGAGCAAATATTTAATGGAAAAAAAAATAAATAAAATTAATATAATTATGAAATTGCAAGATGATTACTAATAAGACTTTCAAGGTATTAATGATTTAAATATCAAGGAACCATTTTACTAATTTTCATACTTACAATCAACTCTATGTCAATATCTGTTGATTTTGAGTAAAAAATATCAAATGGCAATTTAAATCTCGATAACTTGAATTTTTGAATTTTAAATAATACATATCAATAAAGTACTCTCGTTACATCAAATCAATCTGCAAAAGAAATTGAATTTTTAGAAATTTTTTGACCATCTGCACCAACTTTTTTTTTTAATTGCAATAATTTCTAAATAAATTAAATAAACGTAGCTTTAATAAACGTAATATCTTTCGATATAACTATTTTAATTTTTAAAAAATTATTCCACATACTTTTTTTTTTAGAATTAATCATTATCTTGATTAACTCCAGAACTACGGCTGAAGCGAGACACAAACAAAGAAAAATAATGCGACATAATAGATAAACGAAATTTTGTAAAATTTCTATTTAAACAATATCTTTTTAGGGAATATAAATTATAACCTGTCACATTCTAATCCTTTACAACATATCTATAACAAGATAAACAAGATAATTTCAAAAAAAGTCAAAAATACAATTTACTTTATCTCTATAATACGTGATGAAGTATACGTCATTACCTCCTATATATTTGACCGATCGTTGGTCAAAATTCAACAGCTCCTGCAGTTCACGTACAATCTCCATTGCTTCGTTACTCGCAGTCTAGGTAAGTGTTTCCATATATCTCAATTGTAATATTTATATGACAATTTTATTATTATCTGACAAGACGAAATATTTTGTAGAAAAATGACAAGGTGGTTGTTTATGGTGGTATGCCTTGGCATAGTTTGTCAAGGTACGACAGGCAGTATTCTTCGAGGAGAATCTTTAAACAAATCGTTGAACGTCCTTCACGAATGGAAATTCTTTGATTACGATTTCGGTAACGATGAAAGAAGACAAGATGCAATTCTATCTGGCGAATACGACTATAGGAATAATTATCCGTCCGACATTGATCAATGGCATGGTAAATTATATCATATTAAATATTTTAATATTGCATTTTACTTGTCCAAAATATTTAATATCCAATAATTACGGTTTAAAAAATATTAAACCTTTTTTCATTTCTTATTCAAGGTAAGATTTTCGTCACCATGCTAAGATACAATGGCGTACCCTCCTCTTTGAATGTGATTTCTAACAAAATCAGTGATGGTGGACCTCTTCTACAACCTTATCCCGATTGGTCGTTTGCCAAGTATGACGATTGCTCTGGAATCGTGAGCGCCACCAAACTTGCGGTAATTAGATATTGTCTCTGTGATTACCTTCACAATTAATTTCCCAAAGAAAAAGAAGATTCATTTGTTATGTGATATTTAGATCGACAAATGCGACAGATTGTGGGTTCTGGACTCTGGTCTTGTCAATAATACTCAACCCATGTGTTCTCCAAAACTGCTCGCCTTTGACCTGAATACCTCGCAATTGCTCAAGCAAGTCCAGATACCGCATGATATTGCCGTAAATACCACCACAGGAAAGGGAAGACTATCATCTCTAGCTGTTCAAGCTCTTAACTGCGATATAAATAGCGAAACTATGGTGAGTTTATAAATTATAAAAGTAAGCAACTTTTTTTATTTTCTTGGAAATTTTTCATTTCACTTTTGTGTTATTCAAGAAATTCATTTGGAAATATAGCTTTAAATTAGAAAAGTAATATTGCAAAATGATAAAACTTTTAAAATAATATTTGTTAAATAATTCTGTTAAATACCTGAAATTTAAGATAAAAAATTAGAATATTTCTTATATATTGCTTTGCTTTTATATAAAAAGAATGATTTTGTAATTTTCTTTGATGCTTTCTTTGGCAGAAAGATATAATATCTCTCTCTTTATATATATATTATATATATACAACAAAAATGAATGTATTTTTAATGTTTTTCTATTTAAATATATTTATAATTACTTATATTATTTCGTCCAAGAGAATTAATTTTAAAGAGCAATATTAATGAATATTTCAAAGATATAAAATATTTCCAAAATCGAAAAATTACAATTTTCTAAGAGAAACAGACTGCAGAATTCTTATTCAATGCATTAACATTTATAAAAAATATTTTTGAAAGTTACAAAATCAAGAAAAAGTTGAAATTTATTGAACAATGTTATTGATTACAATATAATCATACCATGATAATGATGATACAACAGGTATACATAGCGGACGATAAAGGTGAAGGTTTAATCGTGTATCATAATTCTGACGATTCCTTCCATCGATTGACTTCCAACACTTTCAATTACGATCCTGAATATACCAAAATGACGATCAATGGAGAAAGTTTTACAATGCAAAATGGAATTTCCGGAATGGCCCTTAGTCCCATGACTAACAATCTCTATTACAGTCCTGAGGCTTCTACCAGTCTGTATTTTGTTAACACGGAACAATTCAAAACATCTGATTATCAACAGAATGGCGTGCATTACGAAGGGTAAATAAAATTAAGTTACTTTTAAATAGAATGTTACTATATTCAGAATTAATTCTAGAATTTTCCAACTTGTGAATTCTGACTAATATAATTTTAAATATTGAAATATTGAAATAGATAAAACAAGGCTGAAAATGGATAGAACTGTCTCTTTGTCTAATGTAAATTTAAATTGCTTACAATTTAATAAATAAAACTTATTATACAAACTTATTATACTTATTAGTTATTATATAACAACATTTCCTATAGCTTTTAGAATCGATATCATAGATATGTTACATCTTTTAACTTAATTCCACATTTTTTACTGATTTCAGAGTCCAAAATATTCTGGATACCCAATCGACCGCTAAAGTAGTATCAAAAAATGGCGTTCTCTTCTTCGGACTGGTAGGCGATTCAGCTCTTGGCTGCTGGAACGAGCATCGACCACTTGAAAGACACAATATTGTTAGTAACTGCGAATATTTTTTATTTTTTGTCATACTTTCTTGTCACATTTATTCCTATCACATGCACTAGTGATGTGGTAGTAGTGATGTAGTGATGAGAATATGATAGAACAAAACATCCACTACTAGATTTGACAGAGAAACGAGTCACGTGACATGATGCAACATTTGTCTTTGGTCACGTGATGTACTTCTATGTAATGTAGTGGGGATAATATAACATTGTTTATTTAGTTCATGCAGGAATGTAGCGTTAGTAGTGAAGAAAGAAATGTCTCTAGATTTATATTAGTACTTTTTATATATATATTAATAATATTTTCGTTTTCATTTTATTTTCTAAAATTATGTTTATATTAATTATTTTTTTAATTGAAATGTATTACTTTGAATTGATTAGAAGAATTTGCACTTTTGGTAATTAAATTAATAAGAGATAATTTGATTTGATCGAAATATCGGATATAATCGGATTAAAAGTTATTTAATATAAACGTGATTTTAGAGTTTTTAAATACGTTGACATTTGAATGACAATATATTTTTTAAAAAGGAATATAAATAATAAGAAAATTATTTTAAAATTACAGCGTACCGTCGCTCAGAATAATGAAACTCTTCAAATGATCGTTGGCATGAAGATTAAGGAAGCACTTCCACATGTGCCTATATTGGATAGGTATATAAACAGTGAATACATATTGGTTTTAAGTAACAGAATGCAGAAAATGGTGAATAATGATCTTAACTTCGATGACGTAAACTTCCGAATTTTGAACGCAAATGTAAATGAATTGATACAAAACACTCGTTGCGAAAATAATAATAAGGACGACACACCCTTCAAAATTTCAGTACATTTGTAAAATCTGTCTTTCTTGATATGTATTAAATTTTTTTCCATTATGAATGTATAAAATAAATATTGTTTTCGCATAATATATTTCAATTTTATTATTACCTTTTAAAAACTATAATAATATTAGCACGTACTTGTATTTATATTATATTATTCGATATGAATGAGCAAGTGAATATAATATTGCGAGTTAAACTCAACGATTTAGAATATAATATATTTCTAAAATAACAGCGTAATTAATAATGGGACATCAAATCTGAAAAAAAATTGAATTTTATTACCAATTTCTAATAACCAATTTAATAATATTTCTTCTAAATTTTGTACAACAATTATTAAAACTATTTCATCGATTTTTAAAAAATTGTTTTATCAATGTTTCATTCTTGGCTGTTTCTTTCTTTCTTTCTTTTCATCTAGTTTAAAACGTAATCACAAAGAGAAAGAAAAAAAGATTTCTTATTAATGAAAAAAAAAAAAGAGAAAAGTAAAAAAAAAATTTTTCTTCTATGTTATGTATTTTGATTAACACTTTGTCTATCACACATGACTGAGATTATCATTTGCAATGAACAGGATTGTCAAATATATAAATATCTTATATAATTATCTCTCCATCATTAAAATTGGCGAAAGCTAAATCACATCAGGTGATTTGCTTTTATTGATATAAAAATGAAGATAATGTGATTTCGTATATTCTCCAAATTTGTCACAGATGGAAATTAAACTAATTTCAATGGTAGAGCATAGTGAAATAGAAAAATTAATATTTTCAAAATTATAAGTAATAAAAAAAAAATTTTGGTTTGATAAAATTCATTTCATACCTCCTTAAATAAAAAAAATTTACAGTTTATTAATGATTATTAGTATTCTTTTTATTTATTATTGAATATTATTTAGATAAAGCATTGATATAAAATGCATCAATATATTCATGGAACATTTTTAAAGATTCAAAAAAAAGTCAATATGATGGTCAATATTTATTTATCAAGTTATTTATAAAGAATTTGAATTTGCATTAAATAAAAAGATAGAAATATATATTTCACTTTCTTTCCATAATTGAATATATTAAATTGTTTATTACTTAATAAACAAGCTTTAATATTTTTGTAAATATCGATTTTTATGTTTCTTTTGAAACTCTAAATCGATTCTCTATGAATATTAATAATTCATATCTTGTGTAACAAATGTATAACAGACAATAAATTATACGTTGATTATTAATAATTCTGAGGATTTCTTCCAACATTTTTAATTTTAAATAAGATATATTTATGGATCATGAAGAAAATTTTTCAAAGAAATATGAAATTTTTGAATGTCTAAACAATGAAAGTTAGAAAGAAGAAGTTAAGAATTACAAAATCAAAAAACTAATATTAGATTAGATTTATCAGTAAATATTAGTAAATATGATAATAATTTATTTTTAATTCAGAGCCCAGAATATTTTTGGACTTAAAGAAATGTTAAAACAATGTTTAAAATTAATATTGTTTTTTTGTATAGATTTATAAATGATATAGCTGTTGGAACAAATATCGATTATTGACAAAAAAGAATATATTGTTAATATACAAATATTTCCCATATATACTTTTTTTTTCTTTTTTAATAATACTACAATTTTTGTTATACGAAACCATTTTATATTAAACATCTTTTCAAAATGATGTTAAATTATGAAAATCACGAATAATAAAAGTTCTACCAATTTCAACAATTTGATCATCAAAAATTAATAAAGGCTACTTAAATTTTTCAATGTTAAAAATTCGCCATTTAAGGAAAAAAAATTTGATTATATTAATTTTACACGATATGATAAAAATATAGAAAAAGATAAGAAACGTTAATCAATTTTGTCGAATATAAATAAGCTTCGAAAAAATTAATGTCAGAAATATAGTTATAAGCGATAGTAGATAATTAGCGTCACGTGATTATTAACTAGTAATATATTTAATATATCTAACATAATTGTATATCTATTTTTGAATTTCTTTAATTACTTCTTTTTTACAAATAATCCAAAAATATTATATTTTTCTACAAATATAAGAAAACATAGTATTTCGATCCTTGCATAAAAATTAAACTCGCGCATATATGTCACGTGTAGTAGCAAACATGTTAAGTCACGGAATCGACTATTAACAAAGGTTTGATGGGAAGAATGATAAATAAAATTAAAATATTTGCGAAATTATAAAATATGATTAGATTCCTCAAGTTATGTGATTTAAATGTCAAGGAGATGGTTCTTTTTCTTTATTAATTTTTCACATTTGCTCATTACGTATAAATATATGCTGGTCATAAGTAACAAATATGAAAAAGTATCAAATGCCAATTTAAGTTTCGATCGAACTTTCGAATTCTGAATGTGTATATAGAATACATCGCTGTATAGAATCATAAGAAACCATCAAATTCTCTATAATATTCCTTTGTATGGGCCATATTTATATCAACTTTTGCCTGGATTGTTAATTTTTAAATGAATTAAGTAAACTTAATTCATTATATTCTTCGATCCATAATAATTATACATTTCTAAACAATTTCAAGTTTGAAAATAAATATCTGATAGAACGGGCAAAACAAAATTTTGTAAAATTTTTAAACTACTCTTCTAAGGAATATATAAATCATATCACCTGTCACGTTGTAATCCTTAAAAAAAAAAAAATATCTACAATGAGATAATGAGAATATCGAAAATTCAAAAAAAAAAAATTTTTCTTTATCTCCGTGAAACGCGTCATTATCGTATATATATATATTGACCGACCGTTACTCAAAATTCCTGCATTTTGCGTACATAGTTTGTCATTTTGTAAAATATTTGTAGTATCCTAGGTAAGTGTTGCCTCATTGTAATTTTTTTTTTGCAATTTTTCATTTCATCTAATAAAACGAATATTTTCTAAAGAAAAAAATGACAAGGTGGTTATTGTTGGTGGTGTGCCTTGGCATAGCTTGTCAAGATATCAGAGGTGCCGCTGTTCGAGAAAATTCCTCGAAAAAAAACAATTTGACAAATACGTTAAATGTGATTTACGAATGGAAGTATCTCGATTATGATTTTGGTAGCGACGAAAGAAGACAAGCTGCGATTCAATCTGGAGAATATGATCGTATGAAAAATTATCCTTCCGACGTCGATCAATGGCATGGTAAAATATTTTAAATTAATACTAATTATTTCAAATAATTTAATATTCCAGTTTTATATTTTTCTAATATTCTTACGTTATATATAAGAATATTTCATGTTTTACATTTTTCGTTCAAGATAAAACTTTTGTCACCATGCTAAGATACGATGGTGTGCCTTCTTCTTTGAATGTGGTATCTGAGAAAACTGGCAACGGTGGACCCCTTCTACAACCTTATCCCGATTGGTCGTTTGCCAAGTACGAAGATTGTTCTGGAATCGTGAGCGCCCACAAAATTGCTGTATGATTATTTTTCAGAATTAATTTTTCTTTCGAAAAGAGAGAAACTCGTATTGTATAGTATTGTGTTGTATGATACTTAGATCGATGAATACGAGAGATTGTGGGTTCTGGACTCGGGTCTTGTCAACAATGAACAATCCATATGCTCCCCGAAACTGCTTGTCTTCGATCTGAATACCTCACAATTGCTTAAACAAGTCGAAATACCGCATAATGTTGCTGTAAATGCCATCACAGAAAAAGGAGGATTAGTATCTCTAGCTGTTCAAGCTATGGATCCTATAAATACTATGGTGAGTTTAAATTTTAAAAATAATTAAAAGTTTTCTTGGAAATTTTTTAAATAATTATTTTTCTTTTGTATTTGGTATATTATTTCTTATATAATAGAAATTTTTTATATGGTTTTAAATTAGAGATAATAATGTTATAATATATATACTGCAAATAAAACTGTAAATCAAATTTAAATAATAATTTTCAAAATAATAATTCTTGAACTTAAATCAAGAGAATTGAAATTTACATTATATATTATTTGTAAAAAAAAAAAAAGAATGATTTTGTAGCTTTCTTTGATGATTAGCAGAAAGTTAATCATGTTATATTATTTTCTTGTAAATTATATAATAAATACATATATCATTTTATAGAGATCATTTTCTATGAAGAATAACTGAATAACTATTATTCTAATAAGTAAAATACTTTTAGAATTGAAAAATTACAATTTTTCTTCAAAAACTATGTATTCTGCAAAAATAGTCTATAGATTCACATATTCAGCATATTACGATTTATAAGAAACACTTATTAAAAATTTAAAATTACAAAACTAAAAAAAAATTAAAATCATTAACACATTATTAATTATAATACAATAATGATATAACAGGTGTACATGGCAGACAGAGAAGATGCTTTAGTCGTCTATCAAAATGCCGACGATTCCTTCCATCGATTGTCTTCCCATAACTCTAGATCTGATAAAATGTCGCACGGAAATTTAGCCTTGAAAGAGCTAGACAACAGAGTTTTTGGAATGGCACTTAGTCCCGTGACAAACAATCTTTATTACAGTCCTCCTTCTTCTCACAATTTGAATTATGTTAACACAGAATTATTAATGAACTTGCAAAATCAAGAAAATAACGTGCACCATGAAAGGTAAATACAAAAATAAATTTTGTAAATGTTCTGAAATAATTAAAATATTTTCTTATTATATAGTGTATTTATATGGAAATTTGTTTGGAGGATTGATTTTAAAATATTGTTTCTTGATTTATGAATCGTGATATATAATATTAAATATTTTTTAAATAGCATCTCTTCAAAATATTCAATTTTGTTTTCTATGAAATGTTTCCAATGTTGAGGAATACTTTTAGATGAGATAAAAATAGAGCTATCTCTCTATTCAATGCAAATTTATTAATAAATTGCTTATTATTAATAATAAATAAATCTAAACATTAAAAAATAAATCTAAGAATCAATATTCCAAATAAGTTCCAGAATATCTTGTATATTTTTATTTAATTTCATATTTTTTATTAATTTCAGAGTCGAAGATGTTTTCAGTAGTCAATTATCCGCTAAAGCAATATCGAAAAATGGCGTAGTCCTTTTTGGACTGAATAATACTCTTGCTTGCTGGAACGAACATCAGTCACTTAACAAACAAAATATCGTTAGTAATTGCGAATATTTTTTAATCTTCCTTTTTTTCTTCTTAATTTTTTTTTTTCTATATTTTTTTGACACATTTCTTTTTACCAGATACTACTACCACATTAATAAACATAACATGAAAAAGATATATGTCACATTATCCCCACTGCTACATTTGGTAAAGACACGAGTCATGTGACACGAGTCACGTGATATATCCCTATACAGCAGTAATAGTGGGGATAAGAAGATTTCACTTATTTTCATGTATTATTTTCATGTAGAAATTGCGGTGTTTAGTAACGTACGAACAAATTTCTCTTTAGATTCGTATAAAAACAAATCTTTTTCTTTATATAAATCAATAATACTTTCGTTTTTCATTTAATTTTTAGTAATTAAATTAGTAAAAGATGTTTTGATTTGATTGATAGTCAATCAAATCAAATCGCTCAATACATGCAATTTTAAACATTTTATGAAAGTTATACGTGAGAAAGTTTGATATGTTATTAAATAATCGAATTTATTTAGTCATTTATGTTTTTATATGGGAACAAATGTTTCTTAGAAAGAGATTTTATTATAAATAAAAATGAAACCATTTTGAAATTACAGGATGTTGTAGCTCAGAATGAGACGCTTCAAATGGTCGTTGGTATGAAGATTAAACAAAACCTTCCACAATCTGGCAGGGTTAATAATGCGTCCCAAAGAAATGAATATTTGTTGGCTTTAAGCAACAGAATCGTGCGAAACGTGCTAAACAATGATCTTAACCTCGAACACGTGAACTTCCGAATTTTGGGCGCTAACGTAAACGACTTGATACGGAATACTCGTTGTGCAAATTCTGACAATCAGGATAATCATCGTCAACATAATCATAACCGTAATCAAGCTCATCAATTTTCAAAATCTGACGATCAGAATAACAATCAACACAACAATCAAGCTCATCATTCTTCAAGATCAGACAATCAGAATAACAATCAACATAACAAGCAAGCTCATCATTCTTCAAGATCAGACAATGAAAATAACAATCACCATAACAATCAAGTTCATCATTCTTTAAAATCACATTAAACTCTGTTAATTAATCTTTTCTCTGTTAATGTAAATCAAATATTTTTCAAAATTTCGTTAATAATAAATAAATAAAGTAAATATCATTTTTCGTATAGTAACTTTCACATTTATTGCCCTAATTTTACAAGAATTATAATAACATAGAAATTGATAAATTTTTAATCAGTTGATATTTAATATCACTGAACGAGTAAATGTTAGTAGTAGAAGTAACAGTTAACTTAAAGAGTTAAATGAAACAATTTGAAGTGATTGGATAATAGGACATCAAACGTGAAAGAATTATTTGAAATAACAGTTATTTCATTGGTTTTGACGCTTTTGCAAAATGTTTGGTCAAGATCATCGATTTCATATTTAATATAAATTTGATTCTTACAGTTATTCCAGCACTAATATATTCTGATTATTAAGCGGGTAGAACAAAAATATTCGAATTTTCTTTTATGCAAGTGTTTCTTCTATTGCTAAAAGCGGCCAAGGTCAATATTTTGTCATGTGACGTGTTTTTATAACATAACAGTGACAAAGGAGATAAAACACTAATTGCAGGCATGGAAATGGAACTTTCATGGAATCCAAAACAAGTGCAAAAATTAACACGATGGTCAAGGTTTATTTATTAAATTATAATTTGAATTTGAATTTACATTAAACGAAGAGATAAAAATAGACTGAAATAGCTCTATCTCTATCTATCTCTTATCATTTTCTTCGTGTAATCCAATATTAAATTGTTTATATCTTGGTAAGCAAGCTTCAATCGATACCAACTTTTATATGATTCTTTTGGCCTAAGTCAAAGATATTTTAAAAGTATATTAACTCTTTTTATATTTTTGTGTAACAGGTATTAGCTGACAATATAGCATTAATTATTTACAATAATTTCGATTTGAATATGTTGGATTGTAATCTGGAACATGAAAATTTTTCAAAAAAGCATGAAATTTAAGATTATTTAAAAACAATGGAGAATTATGAGATCAAATCAACAATTTATCAGTAAGTATGATGATAATTTATTTTTAATTCAAACACCAGAACATTTTATGACTCAAAGGAGGAGTATCTTGAATTATCATTGTTTTTTTCGAATTTATAATTCGATCATCAAAATTAAACTTTTAATATTAAAATTTTTAAGAAATTTAGGTTCTTTTAAAAACACACATAAAAATTTATGCGTTGAGGATTAATTAATATATATCTATCACCATTTATAAAAAAATATTTTACTTATTGCGATGAGATAGAAATATAGAAAAAGATTAGAAGTGTTAATTAATTTTGACGAGTACAAACAAACTTTGTGAAAATTAATGTCATAAATAGAGTTACAAGTGATAGTGATACTATTAGCTAGTAATATATATTCAACATAATTATTTATTTATTCACTTTTTAGTTTCATAAATTATTCATTATTTTTTTTTTTATGTGTTTCAAATAATCGAATTGTTACATTTTTCTAAAAACATAAAAAAACATATTTTGATAATCTTCACATGAGAATTAATAGAAGTATACGTGTTTGTGTCACAAATAGTAGTAGTAACAAATTATCAAATCGACCGTATCAATAAGTGTTTGATGAGAAGAAAGATAAATAAAATTAAAATAATTAGAAAATTGCAGGATCACCAATAAAAAGAGTTTATAAATTATTAACGATTTAAAAGTAAAGATTTTATTAATTTTCATATTTGCTTAAGTATGAAAATATATTCTTTCAAATTTTGAATTTGGATGTGAACTCACATTAGACAGAATAAAGGATTGTATCCAAATTAATCTGCAAAGATAACCAATAAATTCTCTATTTCCATCTCTTGTAGATTATATATACATCAACTATCTAGAATGCATTAATTTCTAAATAAATTAAATAAATACTATGCTATATAAAATTTTTCGAAGTAATGAATTATTTTTCATAAGCATTTATCTTAGAAGCAATTATTATCTCGATTAATAGTTTTCTAGAATTATGCATGAAGTAGAGACACAAAAAAAGAAAAACGGTTGTGTGACAATAGATAAACGAAATTCTGTAAAGTTCCTATTTAAATTATTTCTTAAGGGAAATAATAAATTACAACCTGTCGCATTTTAATTTTTTGAAAAACATTATTTACAACAAAATAAACAAAAAATTTAAAAATATAATTTACTTTATCTCTGTGAAGTACACGTCAGTACCATCTATATATTGACCGATCATTCGTCAAAATTCAACAACTGTTGCAGTTCACATTCACTCTACATTCTCTTAAAATTGTCGTTTCCAAAATATCTATAACATCCTAGGTAAGCATTCCTAGTGCAAGTACATACAATTTTTTATTCGTCTGGCAAGATAAAATATTTTGTAGAAAAATGACAAAGTGGTTATTGCTGGTGATGTGTCTTGGCATAGCTTGTCAAGATACCACAAGCGCGGCTCATCCGAGAAAAAATTTGACAGATTCGATGAGTGTGATTCACGAATGGAAGTATCTTGATTATGATTTCGATAGCGATGAAAAAAGACAAGCTGCGATTCAATCTGGCGAATACGACCATACGAAAAATTATCCCTTCGATGTCGATCAATGGCATGGTAAAATATTTTAATTAATATTGTATTTTGCTTGACAACTTAATATTCAATTATTTTCGAATTTTTTGACTTTCCTATCGTAAAAAAATATCAAACGTTTTGCATTTCTTCAAGATAAAACATTTGTCGCTGTAATAAGATTCGATGGTGTGCCTTCGTCTTTGAACGTGATATCTGAGAAAACTGGCAACGGTGGACGCCTTCTACAACCGTATCCTGATTGGTCGTGGACGAACTATAAAGATTGTTCTGGAATCGTGAGCGCTTACAAAATTGCGGTAATTGAAACACTTTTTCTATGAATATCTTCAGAATTAAATTTTCTTTCGAAAGAAGAAAAATTATTGTATGATGTTTAGATCGACAAGTTCGACAGATTGTGGGTTCTGGACTCAGGTCTTATTAATAATATCCAACTCATATGCTCTCCAAAATTGCTTGCCTTTGATCTCAATACCTCACAATTGCTTAAGCAAGTCGAGATACCGCATGATATTGCCGTAAATGCTAGCACAGGAATAGGAGGACTTGTATCATTAGTTGTTCAAGATATGGATCTTATAAATACTATGGTAAGTTTCAACTATAAAAGTAATTAAAAGTTTTCATTTTCTTAAGAAATTTTTTAAATTATTTTTCTTTTGTATTTGATATTATTCCTTATATAATGGAAAATCTTTATGTGGATTTAAATAAAAAGATAATAATATTGCAGTATGATAAAAATAAAATCCATAATTTTTGAAATGATAAAATCATTCTTGAATTTAGATCAAAAAATTAAAATTTATATTATTTCGTTTTTATATATGTATATATAAAAAATGATTTCGTAGATTTTTTTTTTTTTGATGTTTTCCTGTAGCAGGAAAATCGCATAAATCTTGTTCTTGGAAATCACTAATTTTTAAAAGATCTTAATAAAAATGTATTTTCTATGTTCCTTTAAACATATTTCTCTAAATCATTTCTCATCTATCGATAACAATTGAATAACACGATTCTAAAAGTATAAAATAAAATTTTAAAATTGAAAAATTATAATTTTTCTTAAAAAATGGTGGGAAAGATGATATGTAAATTTACATTCTGTATATTAAAATTAATAAGAAGAATTTATTGAAAGTTACAAAATCAAAAAAAAAAAAAGGTAAAATCTAACGAACAATATTATTACTTAAAATACAATAATAATACAACAGGTATATATAGCAGACGACAGAGGTAACGCTTTAATCGTCTATCAAAATTCCGACGAATCCTTCCATCGATTGACTTCCAACACTTTTGATAACGATCTCAAATATTCTGAACTGACGGTCGCGGGAGAAAGTTTCACAGTGCATGATGGAATTTTTGGAATGGCACTTAGTCCCGTGACGAACAATCTTTATTACAGCCCTCTCACTTCTCACAGTTTGTATTATGTTAACACGGAACCATTCATGAAATTACAATATGACGAAAATAGCATGCAATATGAAGGTAAATATAAAAATAATTTTTAAATTCATGAAATAAATATAATTCACATTGTTAAATGGTGTGATAACATATTCGTGAAATTTCTTTGGAAAATTGATTGTAATGAAGAATATTTGTCAACTTATGAATCACGATTAATATGTGATGATAGTAAAATTAATTTTTAATTAAAAATTTTCAAATTGTCGAATGCACAGCTGCATTGAGAAACACTATTAGATGAAACAAGACAGAAAAAATAGAATTCTCTCTCCGTCACGTTTAATGCAAATTTAAATTGCTAATAACTTAATAAATTTAATAAGCTTCAATCAGATATTTTTATACATCAAAACTAATATCTTTTAATTAATCTCACATTTTATATTAATTCCAGAATCCAAGATATTTTCAACACTCAATCGTCCGCTAAAATAATGTCGAAAAATGGCGTCCTTTTCTACGGACTTGTGAATAATTCAGCTATTGGTTGTTGGAACGAGCATCGACCACTTCAGAGCCAAAATATGGTTAGTAATTTTTCAACCTTTTTTTTTCTTGACACAGCTTTTTGTTTCAGCTGTTATTACTTAGCGTTTTTCTTCCGTATGAGAAGAATACATGATATTACATTGTCCCAATTATAATTTGACAGAGACACGAGTCACGTGAACGATTGTTTTTGATCAAGCAATTACAATGGAAATAATGTGACATCACGTGTTTTTTTCAACGAAGTATTTAATTCGTTTTCTTTGTAAAACTATGTTTATATTAATTACCTCTTAATCAGATCATTGAGATGTAATTTTTATTGCACAAACTTTTAGTTAAATTTATAAAAATGATTGAATTTGATCGTTGAATTCGATAGTCACATTAAAACATTAATTGAACATTGTTTTAGAATTTCTGTAAACATACACGAGGAGAGATGAATTGATAACACTTAATCAAATAATCGAATTTATGTTATTTATGTTTTTATAGCAACAAATGTTTTCTAGAAAGAAGTATAACAAAAAATGGAATTATATTTAAATTACAGGATATGGTCGCTCAGAATGAAGAGACACTTCAAATGATTATTAGTTTGAAAATTATGCGAAATCTTCCACATTCTGGAAGGATGAATAGAATTCACAGGAATGAATACATGTTGGCTTTAAGTAACAAAATGCAAAAAATAGTAAACAATGATTTTAATTTCAACAAAGTAAATTTCCGAATTTTGGGTGCGAATGTAAACGATTTAATAAAAAACACTCGTTGCGCAAATTTAAACACTCAGAATAATAATCAAAATAAACATAAGAATCAATCATTCTTCAAGATCACATTAAAATCTATAAATTAATTTTTTCTCGTGGTAAGTCGAATATTTTTAAAAATTTATTTGCATTTTAAATGAATAAAGTAAATATCGTTTTCGCATATCTTTCACTTTTATTGCCCTACCTTTAAAAAATTATAATAATATAGAAATTAACGTATACATGTGCTTATAATATTTTCAATATTTTTTATGTTATATTATTTAATATGATTAAATAAAAGTAGAAATAAAGATTAAGGAGTTAAACAAAACAGTCTGCAGTAATTGATAAAGAGATATAAAGCGTGAAAGAAGAATAAATTTCATAACAGTTTTTCCATACTTCATATAACAATTATTTAGTTAGTTACTTCATTGGTTTCAATGATTTTATAGTATTGTTTGTGAAAATTATCATTTTAAGTATAATATTAATGAATTACATGTAGATAGACTTCACTGATTTCACATCTAAATCTGATTTTTTAACAATTGATTGTTTCTTTCTCGATTTCGTTTTACTAAAACAGAATAATATTTTTTATGAATATAATAGAAATAAATTTTTATTCAAGTTTTTTTTATGTTATGTATATTAATTCTTTATATATCAGCCATGAGTAAGTATCTCTCATTAGAAGTTGTCAAAGTTAAGCATCGTGACACGTAACATTTCTCTGTCTATAATTAGTAATGGAGATAATAAGACATCATGTATTGTAGTGTTGATATTTATCGCAGAGAAATTGACCTAATTTTAGTGAACAACATATTAAATATTGATAGCAAAATTAATATTTTTAAAATCATAAGCAATTTTATATTTGGATTAACATTAAAGATTGTTGCACAATTCTACATATTTCTTATATATTTTATTAACTTTCCATAGAAAAAGTACTATCTGCAAGCAGAATTAATATATTCAAGAAACACCTTTAAAGAAGATTCCCATTCGGAATCGTGAAAAACAAGTGCAAACATTAACATAATCAATGTAGAAAATTTTTCAAAAAAATATGAAATTTCGGATTGTGTAAAAACAATGAAACTTGCAGAATTAAAAAATCAAAAGAATAATCCATAATATCAGTAAATATAATAATAATTTATATTCAATTCAGAATATTTTATAGTTTGGAGGAGCAATGAATTATTATTATATTTTTGGGATTTAAAAAATGATAAATTTGCTGGAATGAAAATCAACTATTGACAAGAGAAAATACCGTTATTAATTATAAATATTCTCTAGACTTTCTTTATATATATACAGTATATATTCGTACAATTCAGTATATTCATCGAAAATTAAACTCGATTTAAATTTAAGAAGTGTAAATTCTTCTAAAATCATGAATAAAAATTCATGCGTGAGGTTAAATTAATACGTTTTTATCGCCATTTATAAAAAAATATTTTAGTTATATTAATTTTACATGATATGATAAAAATATAAAAAATAGTTAGAAATTAATTAATGTTAATTAATTTTAACGAATAAATTTTATGAAAATTAATATTCAATATTAATAAGCAATGATGATACTATTAACTAGTAATATATCACGTATAATCATGAAGAATATATTTTTTCAAATTTTGATTTGATAAATACACAATGATAGAATATTAGTTGCATCTAAACTAATCTGCAAACGGAACCATTAAATTCTTTATATTCCATTTTTGACAGACTATATATATATATATGTCTAAACTGCGTTAATATTTAAATAAATTAAATAAACATTATTTTAAGTAATAATTTTCAATATAATTTCTATTTCTGAAAAATTATTTTTCATTAACATTTGTCTCAAAAGAAATTATCTCGATTAATAGTTCTTTAGAATTATGCATGAAGCAGACACGAACAAAGAAAAACGGCTATGTGACAGAACAGATAAATGAAATCATGTAAAATTTCTACTTAAATTACTTCTTCAGGAAATATAAATTACAACCTGTCAAATTCTAATCCTTTAAAAAATATTCGCAACAAAATAAATAATAAATTTGAAAATTTAAAATTACAATTTACTTTACCTCTGTGACACGTCATTATCGCCTATATATACCAACCGTTAGTCAAAATTCAACAAATTCTGCAGTTCACATATACTCTGCGTTCTCTTGAAACTGTCGTTTGCAAAATACTTGCAGCATCCAAGGTAAGTGTTCCATATGTAATATTTATAAACAATTTTTGGCTGACAAGATGAAATATTTTGTAGAAAAATGACAAGTTGGTTGTTGCTGGTGGTGTGCCTTGGCATAGCTTGTCAAGGTATCACAGGCGCCGCTGTTCAAAAAAATTCTTCGAGAAACTTGGCTAATTCCATGAACGTGATTCACGAATGGAAGTATCTTGATTACGATTTCGGTAGCGACGAAAAAAGACAAGCCGCGATTCAATCTGGCGAATACGACCATACGAAAAATTATCCCTTCGATGTCGATCACTGGCATGGTAAAATATCCGTATTTTAATTAATATTGTATTTTGCTTGTCGAATCAACTTAATATTCAATTATTTTCGTTATTTGAATTTCTCGATTTCTAAATCATTAAAATATATTCCACGTAACTTGTTCAAGATATGACTTTCGTCACTGTACTGAGATACAAAGGTGTGCCTTCTTCTTTGAACGTGATATCTGAGAAAACTGGCAACGGTGGACAGCTTCTACAGCCGTATCCTGATTGGTCGTGGGCGAACTATAAAGATTGCTCTGGAATCGTGAGCGCTTATAAAATTGCGGTAATTAAAATACTTTTTCTATAATGAATATCTTTAGAATTAAATTTTTTTTTGAAGGAAGAAAAATTCATTTTTTGTATGATGTTTAGATCGACAAGTTCGACAGATTGTGGGTTATGGACTCAGGTATTATCAATAATACTCAACCCATGTGTTCACCAAAATTGCATATCTTTGATCTCAATACCTCACAGCATCTTAAGCAAGTTACGATACCGCATGATATTGCCGTAAATGCCACTACAGGAAAGGGAGGATTAGAATATTTAGTTGTTCAAGCTATGGATCCTATAAATACTATGGTGAGTTTAACCTAAAAGTAATCCTTTTCATTTTCTTGAAAATTTTTTATTTTTCTTTTGTATTTGCTTATTTTCTATATAATGAAAATTTAAGGAGATAATAATATTGCAGTATAAAACAAATAAAATTCATAACTTTTGAAATAATTACATAATTTTCTAATTTAGATAAAAAAAAATTGAAGAATATATTGTTTCGCATTTATGTATAAAAAAAAATGATTTTGTAGCTTTTTTTGATGTTTTCCTTTAGCAATAAAAATTACTACATAATTTTCTCTAAAAATTAATCAATCACTAATTTTTATAAGATTTTAGTAAAAACGAAAATATAACTTTTGATGTACTTTTATCTTGGATCATTATTTAAATATTTAAATATTTATACTTTAATAATCATTGTGTTATTAATTATTTTCTACCAAATAATTTTTTTTCAAAAACTGCGTATTCTGGAAAAGATGATCTACAGATTTGTATTCAGTTATTTACATTAAAATTAATAAGAAAAATCTATTGAAAGTTACAAAATGAAAAGAAAAGTAAAATCGATCGAACAATGTTATTAATATTATATTATAATATAATAATGATACAACAGGTGTATATGGCAGATAATAAAGGTGATGCTTTAATCATTTACCAAAATTCCGATAATTCCTTCCATCGATTGACTTCCAACACTTTCGATGACGATCCCAGATATATCAAAATGATGATCGCGGGAGAAAGTTTCACATTGCAAGATGGAATTTTTGGAATGGCACTTAGTCCCATGACAAACAATCTTTATTACAGCCCTCTCTCTTCTCGCAGTTTGTATTATATTAACACGGAACCCTTCATGAAATCACAATATGGAGCAAATAATATCCAATATAAAGGGTAAATATAAAAATAATTTTTAAAATTTTATGAAATAGTTATAATTCATTGTTAAATAGTATATTAACATATTTCTGAAATTTCTTTAGAAGATTGGTTGCGAAAAAGAATATTTATGAATTCTGATAATGTAATTTTAAGTATTTCTAATTAAAAATATTCAAATTGTTATTTGTCGAATGTTACATTCACAGTTTTACATTGAGAAAAACTGTTAGATGAAACCAATAAAAAATATAGAATTCTCTCGTTGTCTCGTATTATCATCTAAAGCAAATTTAATTTGCGAAGAACTTAAAAAATAAACCACAGCCGATATTTTTATAGATCAAAATTAATATTGATGTGTTCCACATCTTATATATTTTTGTTTAATTCTACTTTTTTTTTTTAATTCCAGAGTCCAAGATATTTTCAACACCGAATCGGCTGCTAAAATAATGTCGAAAAATGGTGTCCTCTTCTTCGGTCTCATGAATAATTCAGCTATTGGTTGTTGGAACGAGCATCAACCACTCCAGAGCCAAAATATGGTTAGTAATTTTTTAATCTTCTTTCTTTTCTTGACACATTTCTTTCAGCCGATACTATTTAGCGTTTTATTTCAGATGAGAAAAATACATGACGTTATATTGTCTTAATTACTGTAAATTTGACAAAAACTCGATGCTTTGGTCATGTAATAATCATAATAATGTGACGTCACATGTTTTTTTTTTTAATAAAGTGCTTAAATCGTTTTTTTTATAAACATATGTTTATTTGTATGTTATTTTAATTATCTCTTAATTAAATCATCGAGATAACTTTTTATTGTACAAAATTTTAGTTGAATTCATAAGAATGATTGAATTTGATCGATTCGATAATCACATTAAAAATTAATCAATATAAACAGTTTTAAAATTTCTGTAAACATGAGGAAGTTACAGATGCATTGACAACACTCAATTAAATAATTGAATTTATATCATTTATGTTTTAGCGACAAATGTTTTTTAGAAGGGAGTATAAATGAAAATAAAATTATTTTAAAATTACAGGATATGGTCGCTCAGAATGAAGTGACACTTCAAACGATCGTTGCTATGAAAATGATGCATCTTCCACAATCCAACAGGATGGATATGATGGATGGCATGGATAGCATGGATAACATGGATAACATGGATAACATGGATAACATGGATAACATGGATAACATGGATAACATGGATAACATGGATAACATGGATAACATGGATAACATGGATAACATGGATAGCATGGATAGCATGGATAGCATGAATAGGATGAATAGGATGAATAGGATGGATAGCATGAATAGGATGAATAGCTTGAAAAGATGGATAGGATGGATAGGATGGATAGAATGGACAGGATGGATAGGATGGATAGGATAGATAGGATGAATAAGATGGATAGGATGAATAGGATGGATAGGATGAATAGGATGGATAGGATGAATAGGATGGATAGGATGGATAGGATGAATAGGATGGATAGGATGAATAGGATGGATAGGATAAATAGGATGGATAGAATGGATAAAATGGATAGGATGGATAGCTTGAATAAGATGGATAGGATGGATAGCTTGAATAAGATGGATAGGATGAATAGGATGGATAGGATGGATAGCATGAATAGTATGAATAGCATGAATAGTATGGATAGCATGAATAATATGGATAATATGAATAGCATGAATAAACAAATGAATGAATATATGATGGCTTTAAGTATGAAATTACAAAAATTTGTAAACAATGATTATAATTTCAATGAAGTAAACTTCCGAATTTTGGGTGCGAATGTAAACGACTTAATAATGAACACTCGTTGTGCAAATTCTGACAATCAGAATAACAATTAAAATAATTGTAACAATCAAGCTGATAGAATTCTTGATGTAAACCAAATATTCTTTAAAATATTCTTTATTTTAAATGTATAAAATAATATCGTTTTTGCATGATATTTTTCACTTTTATTACCTATTTTTAAAAAATTGTGATAATGTAGAAACTAATGTGTATTTGTATTAGTTTAAATATTTTTTACATTGTATTTAATATGAATGAATGTAATGTAAAATAACAGATTAAGAAAATAACCAAAATAATTTGAAAATAGTAATTGATACAAGAACATAAAACGTGAAAGAAAAATGAATTTTACATTACATTTGTAATAAGCAATATTATACTTTTTTCAAATTTTATATAACTATTTAGAATAGTAGTTATTTCATTAGTTTCAATGTTTTTGCAATATCTTTTGTGAAAATTGAAATGATTGTTTCTTTCTCAATTTCGTCTACTTTAAGAATTATCAATTACGTTTCTTATACTATCTAGTAGAATAAAAATAAATTTTTATTCAAATTTTTATGTTATGTATATTTTAATCCTTTATCTATTATCAAGAAGTAAGTATTCCCATTAAAAGTTACAAAAGTAACCATTATGACACGTGACGTTTTACTTTACACTTCTTCATAGACGAAGTACTTCAACAGAAAATAAAAATTATTTATAAGTTATGTATAATTTTAACTTATTTCGTGTAACTTCTTTTCTTTACTTGATTAGATACAATATTAATTACAGAAAGAATAATAATATTCATTTAACATTTAAAAAGTCAATTTTGAAAAACAAAGCAAGTACAAAAGTTAATATGATGATCAAGATTTATTTATTAAGATATTTATTTATAAAATATATAAAAAATTAGAATTAAATGAAGAGATATGAATAGAGTGAGATAGTTCTGTTTTTATCACATTTTTTGCACTTTTTTTGTACAATTCAACATTAAATTGTTTTTATCTTAGTAACCTGTAATTAATATCAATTTTTATGCTTCTTTTAAGTCAATCTTTCAAAAATATTTTAAAAGTATATCAACTCTTTTTATATTTTTGTACGATAGATACTCATAACTAGTAATATAGATTAAACATTTAATTAATTATTTACAATAATTTCAATCTGAGGTATGTTCGATTGTATATATACTATATAATATAATATACCCAAATGACGAAAAAAATTTGTTCAAAAATATATTAAATTTTGGATTATTATTAAAAACAAAAGAATTTGCAAAATCACAATAATTGAGAAGCCAGAATATTTTATGATTCAGAGGAGCAATGTCTTGAATTATCATTGTATTTTTCGGATTTATAAATGATACAGTTGCTGGACTATTACTACTAACAAGAGAAAATATCGTTATTAACTACAAATATTCTTTAGACTTCTTTTATATATGTACAATATATATATTTTCGTTAATTTTATCATCAAAAATTAAATTTCAGTTAAATTTTTCAACTTAAAAAATGTAAAATTTTCTAAGGACAAGCATTAAAATATGTGCATTGAGGTTTAATTAGCACGTTTTTATCGCTATTTATAAAAAAATATTTGAATTAATTTAATTAAGTTAAATTAATTTTACATGATACGATAAAAATATAAAGAAAAATTAGAAATGTTAATTAATTTTAACGAATACAAATAAGTATTGTGAAAATTAACATTATAATTATGGTTACAAGCGATGATGATACTATTACTTTCATTAATTATTCGTTACATTTTTTATTTGTTTCAAATAATCGAATTTTTATATTTTTCTATAAACAAAACATATTTTGACCAATCTTCACATGAAAATTAAGTAAAAATGCTTGTGTCGTATAGTAACAAATATTTTAAATTATCGAATAGAGCATATCAACATGTTCGATGAAAAGAAAGATAAATAGAATTAAAATAATTAGGAAATTGCAGAATCGGCATTAATAAGAATATTAAAGTTTTATTAATTTTCATATTTTTAACTATGAAAATGTATTCTTTCAATTTTTTCAATTTTCAAATTCAGATATAAACACAGATAAATAGAATACATTGATTACATCTAAACTACAAAAAGAACTATAAAATTCTCTATAATCCATCTCTTGATTAGACTATACCAACTATTTGTCTACATTGCGTTAATTTTTAAATAAATTAAATAAACATTGTTTTACATAAAATTTTTCAGTAGAATTTCTATTTTTAAAAAATTATTTTTCACTAGCATTTGTCTTAAAAGCAATTATTATTCGATTAATAGTTCTCTAGAATTATGCATGAAGCAAATACACAAATAAAAAAAAAGGCTATGTGACAGAACAGATAAATGAAATCATGTAAAGTTTCTACTTAAATTACTTCATTAAGAAATATAAATTATAGCCTGTCACATTAATCCTTTAAAAAATATTTAAAACAAAATAAATAAAATATTAAATTTAAAATTACAATTTATTTTACATTAGTGAAGTATACGTCATTGCTGCCTATATATCGTCCGACTGTTAGTCAAAATTCAACAAATTCTGCAGTTCACATACACTTTGCGTTCTCTTGAAACCATCGTTTGCAAAATATTTGCAGCATTCAAGGTAAGTGTTTCATAGGTACTATTTTTAAGCAATTTTTTATTCGGCTGACAAGACGAAATATTTTGTAGAAAAATGACAAGTTGGTTGTTGCTGGTGGTGTTGAGTGTTGACATAGCTTGTCACGGCATCACAGGTGCCAACATTATTCCAGAAAATTCTTCGAGAAACTTGGTAAATTCGTTAAACGTGATTCACGAATGGAAATATATTGATTATGATTTTGGTAGCGACGAAAGAAGACAAAATGCGATTCAATCTGGCGAATATGATCATACAAAAAATTATCCCTTCGACATCGATCAATGGCATGGTAAAATATTCGTATATCATTTAATAATGCATTTTGTTTATCAAGATACGTAATATTCAATCATTTGAATTTTTCAATTTTTGAATCATTAAAATATTTTCCACATTCTACATTTTTTATTCAAGATAAGATTTTTATCACCGTAATAAGATACGATGGTGTACCTTCTTCTTTGAACATAATATCCGATAAAATTGGCAATGGTGGACGCCTTCTACAACCGTATCCTGATTGGTCGTGGACGAATTACAAAGATTGCTCTGGAATCGTGAGCGTTTATAGAATTGCGGTAATTGAAATACTTTTTCTATGAATATTTTCAGAATTAAATTTTCTCTTGAAAAAAAAAAAAATTCATTTGTTGTATGATGTTTAGATCGACAAGTTTGATAGATTGTGGGTTTTGGACTCAGGTCTTGTCAATAATACTCAACACATATGTTCTCCAAAATTGCTTGCCTTCGATCTGAATACCTCGCATTTGCTTAAGCAAATCCACGTACCGCATGATATTGCTGTAAATGCCACCACAGGAAAAGGAGGACTAGTATTTCTAGCTGTGCAAGCTGTTGATCCTATAAATACTATGGTGAGTTTAACCTATAAAAGTAATCGTCTTCATTTTCTTGGAAATTTTTTATTTTTCTTTTGTGTTTCGTTATTTCCTATATAATAGAAATTCTTTGTATGGTTTTAAATTAGAATAATAATGCCACATGATGTATGATATAAATATGATTCATAAGTTTTGAAATAGTAAAATAATTCTTAATTTAGATAAAAGATTAAAAAATTAAAATTTACACTAATTCGCTTTTATATAAACAAAAAAATGATTTTGTAGCATTTTTTTTATTTCTTTTAGCAAAAAAATTTATTAAATAAATTTAAAATTTATCATTAAATTTTCTTGCAAAACAAATTTATTCATTTTTGAAAGATTTTAGTAAAAATATATGTGTTTTCGATGTTCTTTTATTTTGAATCATTACTTAAATATCATTACTTTAAATATTTATAATTTAATAATTATTATGTTAATAATCATTATTAATCATTAGTAGGGAGAAATTCGTTCGGAAAAAATCATTTCCCGAATATTTCATCGATACTATTAAATAATTACTGTTCTAAAAGATTACTGTATTCTGTATTCTGGGAAAGATGATTTACAGATTAATATTCAGTTATTTACATTAAAATTAATAAGAAAAATTTATTGAAATTTCTATCGAAAAATATTGTATAAAATTGTATAAAACGTAAGAATGATACAACAGGTGTATATGTCAGACAACAGAGGTAATGCTTTAATCATCTACCAAAATTCCGACGATTCTTTCCATCGATTGACTTCCAACACTTTCGATTACGATCCCAGATATATCAAAATGACAATCGAAGGAGAAAGTCTCACATTAGAAGATGGAATTTTTGGAATAGCAGTTAGTCCCGTGACGAACAATCTTTATTACAGCCCTCTCTCTTCTCATGGTTTGTATTACGTTAATACGGAACCATTCATGAAATCACAATATGGAGGAAATGACGTGCAATATAATGGGTAAATATAAAAATATAATATGATATAATATAATAAATATAAAAATAATTTTTAAATTTTACGAAATAGTCCATTATCGAATAATCTGTTAATATAGAATAATTTTGAAAAATTGGTTCTAAAACAACTTTTCAACTTCTGTTTCGTGGCCATTATAATTTTAAATATTGAAGTTGTTTTTTACGTACAGTTCACATTGTTGGAGGAAACAAAGTAAAGAATATAGAATTCTACCTTTGTTTACTATCTACTATCTTTGTATTACTATCTAAATATAAATTTAAATTGCTAATAGCTTATAAATAAGCCTCAACTGATATTTTTATACATAATGATTAATATTTTTTATTTAGCCTCGATTTTATATATTTTTTATTAATTTCAGAGTTGAGGACATTTACAATACTCAATTATCCGCTAAAGCAGTATCGAAAAATGGTGTCCTCTTCTTCGGTCTTGTACATAATTCAGCTGTTGGCTGCTTGAACGAGCATCAACAAATTCAGAGACAAAATATCGTTAGTAATTGCGGATATTTTTTAATCTTCCTTCTTTTTATCACACTATTTTCTTCGAACATTTCTTCCAACTATTATTATTTAATATCTTTTTTTTTCTATATGAGAAGAATACATAATGTTACATTGTTCCAATTACCAAATAAAAAAAGAAATTATTTTAAAATTACAGAATATGGTCGCTCAAAATAAAGAAACACTTCAAATGATCATTGGTATGAAAATTTTAGAAGATTTGCAACAATTTGGCAAGATAAATAGGACTCAAAGGAATGAATATATGTTGGTTTTAAGTAATAGAATACAGAAAATAGTAAACAATGATTTTAATTTCGACGAAATAAACTTCCGAATTTTGAAGGCAAATGTAAATGACTTAATAAGAAACACTCGTTGTGCAAATAATGATATTCAGAATAATAATAAGAATAACAATTAAAATAACCGTCAATAACAATCAAACTCATCATTTTTTAAGATCACATTAAAATCTGTTACTTTTTTCTCGATGTAAACTAAATATTTTTCAAAATTTCATTGCATTATAAATAAATAAAGTAAATATCGTTTTCGCATGATATCTTTTATTTTTATTATTCTACCTTTAAAAATTATAACAATATAGAAATTAACGTGTACTTGTATTTATATTTTAAATAATATTTATAGTTTAAATATCTTACATTATATTTAATACGAATAAGTGAATGAAAGTAAAATAAGTTAAAGAATTAAATAAAAAGTTTGAAAGTAATAATTGATAAAGGAACATAAATCATGAAAGAAAAAAAGAATTTCATATTACGAATATTATACTTTTTCTAAATTTTATATAACGATTATTTAGAATAGCAGTTACTTCATTGGTTTCAATGTTCTTACAATTTTAAACAAGTATATTATTAATAATTACATAAGGATACATTGATTTCATATTTATATCTGATTCTTTGACAATTATCCAAGCATTAACATATTCTGATAATTAATTGTCTCTTCCTCGATTTCGCTCACTTTATTAGGCAGAAATAACATTTTTTATATAAATAAAATAGAAATAAAGTTTTATTCAATTTTCCTTTTACGATATGTATTTTAATCCATCACCTACGAATAAATATTTTTATTAAAATTTGCCAAAGTTCTGTTAATAATATAGTATTGACTATGGGAATTTATTTTAGTGTCACAAAGGAATTGCGGAATTGAACATTAAATTGTTTATATCTTGTTAAATAAGCATTAATCAAATTTTATTTTGCTTTTGATCTTAAGTCGATCCTCCACAGATCTTTCACAGTCTTAGATATATATTAATATTATTTTATATATGTGACAAGCAGTTATAACAATATAGATTATGTGTTAATTATTTCTAACAATAGCAATCTCGATCATGTTCAATTCTAATCTAAAACATAATAAATTGAACAAAGAAAATTTTGTAAAAAAAAAAAGTGAAATTTGGGATTATATAAAAACGATAGAACTCACAGAATTACAAGAAGAAAACAGCAATTTATGATATTAATAAATATGATGATAACTTTTTATTTTAGAAACCAAAATATCTTACGAATTAAAGAGAGAATATCCTTATTATTAATAAATATTTTCTATACTTCTTTTTGTTCATTATATTTGCTATTATTAAAATATTATTATATTTAAATGCTCTTCTTTTTTCTTTTTAAATAATCCTACAATATAGGATTATTCTTGTGTATTTTAGACACGTATACAAGCTGCAAAAAGACCATTTATTAGACATTTTATCTAAATAATCAACATAAATTCAGATCATGAATTAAAAGTTGATTAATTTAAAAAAATTTAAGATCCTTTAAAAGCACATATAAATTAATGTGTTTAATTAATACGTTTCTATCGCCACACGTTAAAACAAATATTTTAGTTACATTAATTTAACATGATATGATAAAAATGTAAAAAAAGATTAGAAATATTAATCAATTTTGTCAAATACAAATAAGTTTCGAGAAAATTAACGTCAAGAAGTTATAGTTATAAGCGATAGTAATATTAACGTCATGTGATTATTTATTTAACTAGTAATTTAATATTTAATATAAATAACATTATATATTTACTAATTTTAAATTTCTTTAATTATTTGTTATTTTTCCTTTTCTATTTTTCAAATTATTTTTTTCTATAAACATAAAGAAACATATTTTAAACAATTTTCATATGAAAATTAAATACACATATTTATATCACGTATTAGAAGACATATTAAATTATCGAATCGACCATATTAGTAAATGTTTGATGGGAAGAAAAGTAAAATTAAAATTATGAAATTATGAAATTACAGAATATGATCGCTAATAATGAGATTATTAGTAATTCTACAGTCAAGATTTTCAAATTTTTATTTCTTATTTAACTCACCATATGTGAATATAAATATATTGATTTTGAATGATAAATATTAAAAAATATTAAATGAATTGAATTTTGATTGCAGATATAAACACATTAGTATAGTACATTCATTCTATCAGATCAATTTGCAAAAGAAGTCAATAATTTTACAATTCGTATCTCTGTTACATAATTTTTACATATACACCAACTTTTCGTTTAAATTTCTAAATAAATTCAAAATAATATAATTATTCTATTTTTAAAAAATTGCTCTACACACTTTTTTTAAAACTAAATATCATCTTAATTAATAGTTTTTTCTATATGAAGCTAAACACACATACGCACAAAAATAGAGATGTGACAAAGAAATAAAATTCCTTAAAATTTTTAGTTAAGCTAGCGATTTCAGCTAGGCTAGGAAATATAAATTATAACCTGTCACATTTTAATTTTTTAAAAAATATCTACAACAAGATAAACGAAAATTTTGAAAATTTAAAAAAACAATTTATTTTATCTTTGTGAAGGACATACCATTATCACTTATATATATATTGACCAAAATTTAACAGTTCCTTACACTCTGCCTTGAAATTGTCATTCGTAAAATATCTGCAGCATCCTAAGTAAGTGTTTCCATATACCTCAATTGTAATATTTATTTACAAACTTTCATTTGTTTGACAAAACGAAATATTTTATAGAAAAAATGACAAGGTGGTTGTTTATGGTGGCATGCCTTGGCATAGCTTGTCAAGGGGCTACTGTTCGAGAAAATTCTGCAAAAAACTTGGAAAATTCGTTGAACGTAATTCACGAATGGAAATATATTGATTATGATTTCGGTAGCGACGAAAGAAGGCAAGCTGCGATTCAATCTGGCGAATATGACCATAGAAGAAATTATCCCTTCGACGTCGATCAATGGCGTGGTAAAATTTTCGTATTTTAAATTATTATTGCATTCTGATCGTCGAAACATTTAATATTCAATAATTTTCATCATTCATTTTCCTTCATTTTTGAATCATTAAAAATGATATTCCACTTCTTGTTTAAGATAAGACTTTTGTCACCGTATTAAGATACGATGGTGTGCCTTCTACTTTGAACGTGATATCCGACAAAACCGGCAACGGTGGACGCCTTCTACAACCATATCCTGATTGGTCGTGGGCTGAGTATAAAGATTGCTCTAAGATAGTGAGCGCTTTCAAAATTGCGGTAATTGGACATTTTTTTCTATGATTATCATTAGAATTAAGTTACCTCTTCAAAGAAAAAGAAGATTCATTTATTGTATAATGTTTAGATTGACAAATTCGACAGATTGTGGGTTCTGGATTCAGGTCTTATCAATAGAACTCAACCTGTGTGTGCTCCAAAGTTGCATGTCTTTGATGTGAAGAACTCACAACATCTTAAACAAGTCGAGATACCACATGATATTGCCGTAAATGTCACCACAGGAAGGGAGAACTAGTGTCTCTAGTTGTTCAAGCCATGGATCCTATGAATACCTTAGTGAGTTTAAATTATAATTAAAATTTTAAATTAGAGATAATATTATTGCAGTATGATAAAAATTAGATCAAAGAATTGAAATTTACAATATTATACTATATTTTTTATATAAAATACTTTTATATTTTTATATAAAAACAAAATGATTTTATAACTTTCTCTGATGTTTTCCTTTAGCAGAAAAATTGATCACATTAAGTTAGATTTTTTTACATATCATTAATTTTTATAAAATTTTTAGTAAAAATGAATGTATTTTCGATGTTTTTTTATTTGAATCATTGCTTAACCATATTTGGATATTTATAATCAGTTTTATTATTATGACTGAAAGAATTAATTTTAAAGAACAATTGAATAACTACTATTAAAAATTATGTATTCTAGGAAAAATGACTTTTAGAATCTCATTGAGCACAAAATTTATAAAAAATATACGTAATGAAAGTTATAAAATCAAGGAAAAATTATAATCTATTAAACAATATTATTATTTATAATATAAGTTATATTGTGATAATGATAATATAACAGGTGTACATAGCAGATCACAAGGGTGATGCTTTAATCGTCTACCAAAATTCCGATGATTCCTTCCATCGACTGACATCTAACACTTTCGATTATGATCCCAAATATGCCAAAATGACAATCGATGGAGAAAGTTTCACACTGAAAAATGGAATTTATGGATTGGCACTTAGTCCCGTGACGAACAATCTTTATTACAGCCCTCTCGCTTCCCATGGTTTGTATTATATTAACACGAAACCATTCATGACATCACAATTTGAAGAAAATAACGTGCAATATGAAGGGTAAATATAAAAGTAATTTTTTAAATTTTGAAATAAAATAATGTTAAATAATGTATTAATATGTTCGTGGAACTTTTCTATAAAATTGATTCAAGAATAATGTTTCAACTTATCTACCTTTACATAGCATCGTATTCTTGATTAATTGTACATTTCCTATTAATTTCAGGTCTCAAGATATTTTGAACACACAATCAATGGCTAAAGCAGTATCGAAAAATGGCGTCCTCTTTGTCGGACTCGTAGGTAATTCAGCTCTTGGCTGTTGGAACGAACATCAACCACTGCAGAGACAAAATTTAGTTAGTAATTTTTTATCATTTTTCTTTTTCCTCATATTTTTTTTGTCACATTTTCTTGTCACATTTCTTCCTATCAGACGCTATTACCACTATAACCGAACGTGAATTTTCACATGAGAACACAGCTAGATTTGACTGAAACAGGAGTCACGTGACATGATGCAAAACTTGCTTTGCTGTAAAGTCACGTGATGTACATCTGTGCAGCACTAATAGTGGGGATAATGTAATGACATATTCTTTTCGTGCATGAATTTGCAATGTAAAGTAATAAATAACGTAAAGTTAAATTTCTCTATATCTATAGATTTATATAAGTATATTTTTTCTCTTATATACATTAATAATTTAATAATTTTCGTTTTTTTCTACTGTTTTTTTTCTTTTTATAAAATTTGTTTATTTTCTTTTAAAATTATATTTAGAATTTTTTAATCGAACAATCGAATTATAACTTTGAATGAGTAAGAATTGTATAAATTTTTAGTTAATTTAGTAGATGTTTCAATTTGATCGAGTCGACAGTGGATTAAAAGTTATTTAATATAAACGCAGTTTTCTCTATAAACATATGTGAGAAATTTATAGTATGTTGAAAACACTTAATTAAATAATCGAATTTATGTAATTTATGTTTTCAAAGCAACAAATATTTTTTATATATGATGAAATATAAATAAAAATGAAACTATTTTTAAATTACAGGAAATCGTCGCTCAGAATGAAAAGACACTTCAAATGATCGCAGGTATGAAAATTAAGGAAGAGCTTCCACATTTCGTAGGACACAACAAACCTGTGAAAGATGAATATATGTTAGTTTTAAGTAACAGAATGCAGAAAATAATAAATAATGATTTTAATTTTGACGAAGTAAACTTCCGAATTTTGGGTGCGAATGTAAAGAAATTAATAAGAAACACTCATTGCGCAAATTCTAACAATCAAAATGATAACACACAGAATGGTAACCATTGGAATATTAACAATCAAAATGGTAATAATTGGAATATTAACAATCAGAATGTTAATAATCAGAATGATAATAATCAGAATGATAATAATCGGAATGATAATAATCAGAATGATAATCAAGCTCGTCGTTCTTTAAAATTGCATTAAAATTAATTAATTAGGATATAAACCAAATATTTTTTAAAATATTTTCTCGATGTAAATCAAATATTTTATAAAATCTTTTTACATTACATTATAAATGAATAAAATAAATATTATTTTTGCATAATATTTTATTACCTTACTTTTAAAAATTATAATAATACAGAAATTAACGTGTACTTGTATTTATATTTCTAACATTATATTTAATATGAATGAGTGAATGAATGCAGTATATCGTGAAGTAATAGAAATGAAATGATAAGAATTAAATGAAACAATTTGAAAAAATTAATTTGTAATAAGACATCGAGCGTGAAAAAAAATGGATTAATTTAAAATAAAAGATATTTCATCGTTTTAAACAATTTTATTTGTAATTATTTATATAAAGATACACATTATCGATTTCACATCTAAACCTTCTTCGACAATTATCCCAATATTAATGTATTTTGATAATTATTGTCTAAATAGAATAGAAAGAAAATATTCGAGTTTCCTTTTATATTATGTATTTTAATTCTTTATTTATTATTCACGATTGAGATTATCACTCATTAATAAGCAGCTATTCCCTTTATTATTAAAAGCATCGCATCGTGTCACGTGACATGACTCTGCTTGCAATATAACTATGGTAGTGGGGATAATGTGACGTCACATATTCTTCTAGTGTTCAAATTTGTTTGCAAAGGAATTGAATTAGTGCTAAAGTGAATAGTATATTGAACATAAATAGAAAAATTAATATTTTCAAAATTATAATCAATTTTCATTTGATTAACACATTGTTTCTGTATCAAGGATTTAATTTTATTTATTTATTTAACAAAAAAAGAAATTATTTACAATGTATAAATGATTAATTTTTGAACACATGATTATTACTACTCTTTTCATTTATTATCGAATATTATTATTTATTAAAGCATTAATATATTATCAAGAATTAATATAGGGAACATTATATATTTATATTTTTATTAAAGAATCGATTCTATAGTTCAATACAAGTATAAAAGTTAGTCATGATTTATTTATTAAATTATGAATTTGGAATTTGCATTAAATAAAGAGATATAAGAAGAGCTCTATCTTTATTACATTTTTTCACTTTCTTTATGTAATCGAATATTAAATTATATATAATTTGATAAATAAACTTTAATCGATATTTTTTTATATTTCTTTTATATTTTTTTTTTTTTGATCTCTAAATTAGTTTTTCAGAAATATATTAATATCGTTTAAATGTCTGTGCAACATATATGTACGCAGCAAACATGACATGTTAATTTCAATTGATTTCGAGCATTTTCAATTAAAATCTTGAATATAATATATTCATGATCGATGGAGAAAATTGTTCAATTGTTTAAAAAATATAAAATTTCAAAATATGTCGGAATTCGCAAAATCACAAGATCAAAGAACAATATATAATATCAATAAATATGATGATAATTAATTTTTAATTTAGAGATCAGAGTTTTTTAATTTAGAGAAAATATTAGTAAAAAATATTTTCTATGCTTCATTTTTATTTATATTCGTTGTTATTAAAATATTATTGTCTCTAGTGCTCTTTTTTTTTCTTTTTTAATAATCATGTAATTCTTGCGTTGAGCAATTGATAAATCATTTTATCGAAATAATCGATTTGAAATTAATTAAGATCACGAATAATTAAAAGTTATTTTAATATGATTCATTCAATCAAAAATTCATTTACTTTTTCAATTTAAAAAATTTATGTTCTTTTAAGGGAAAAGATATAAAAATTTATACTTGAGATTTAATTAATATGTTTCCAATATTTACAAAAAATACTTTAGTTATTATTATTAATTTTATGCAATTATTGTAATTATATGAAATAAAAATATAGAAAAAGATTAGAAATGTTAATCAAATTCGTCGAATACAAATAAGTTTCATGAAACTTAACATTATTATAAATACAAGCGATAATAATAACGTCACATAATAATTAACTAGTAACATAGCCAAAATACTTAACAAAATCATTTATTTATTTTTAAATTTTTTTGAATATTTATCATTTTTTCTTTTCTACTTTCGAAATAATCAAATTAATTTTTTTACAAACATGAAAAAAACATATTTTGATAATTTTTCACATGAAAATTATCAAAATATATATAATATATATAATAATAATTTTGTAATAACGAATATGTTAAATCATCGAATCGATCATATTAGAAAATATTTAAAAGATAGGAAGAAAGATAAATAAAATTAAAATAATTAAGAAATCGCAATGATAAGATTCTTCAAATTATTAATGATTTAAAAGTAAAGATTTTCCAGTTTTCATTTCAGTTTTCTTGTTCAATTCATCATATGTGAATATATGATTTTGACAAATATTAAAAGATATTAAATAGCAATTTGAATCTCAATAATATGAATTCTTGAATTTTGAACGCAGATATAAACATAAAAATAGAATATATTCGTTCTATCAGATCAATTTGCAAAGGAACAAATTTTATAATTCTTATTTATATATTATATATTATTATTTATATATTCTTTGCATATCAACTTCTTGTCTGAATTTTTAAATAAATTCAATATATAAATATAATTATACTATTTTTAAAAAATTATTCTTCATGTTTTTTCCAGAATTATATATTATCTCAATTAATAGTTTTCTACAACTCATGAAACACATGAAGCTAAACAAATACACAAAAAAATGCAGGTGTGACAAAGCAGACAAACAAAATTCTGTAAAATTTTTAGTTAAGTTAGCACTTTTAGGGAATATAAATTATACCTGTCACATTCTAATCCTTTAAAAATATCTACAACAAGATAAATGAAAATTTTGAAAATTCAAAAAAACAATTTATTTTATTTCTGTGAAGGACATATCATTATCACTTATATATATTGACCAAAATTCAACAGTTCTTTACATTTTACCGTCCCTTGAAATTGTCACTCGTAAAATATCTGCAGCATCCTAAGTAAGTGTTTTCATATATTTCAATTGTAATATTTATTTTCACTCTTTTAATCTATCAAAACGAATATTTTATAGAAAAATGATAAAGTGGGTGTTTATGGTGGCATGCCTTGGCATAACTTGTCAAGGCGCAACTGTTCGAGAAAATTCTGCAAAAAACTTGGAAAATTCTTTGAACATAATTCACGAATGGAAATATATTGATTATGATTTCGGTAGCGACGAAAGAAGACAAGCTGCGATTCAATCTGGCGAATATGACTATAGAAGAAATTATCCCTTCGATGTCGATCAATGGCGTGGTAAAATTTTCGTATTTTAAATTATTATTGCATTCTGATCGTCGAAACATTTAATATTCAATAATTTTCATCATTCATATTCCTTCATTTTTGAATCATTAAAAATGATATTCCACTTCTTGTTTAAGATAAGACTTTTGTCACCGTATTAAGATACGATGGTGTGCCTTCTTCTTTGAACGTGATATCTGAGAAAAATGGCAACGGTGGACGACTTCTACAACCGTATCCTGATTGGTCATTTACAAAGTATAAAGATTGCTCTGGAATCGTGAGCGCTTACAATATTGCGGTAATTGAAACACTTTTTCTATCAGATTATCTTCAGAATTTTTCTTTTGAAAGAAAAAAACTTTATTTAGTGTATGATGTTTAGATCGACAAATTCGACAGATTATGGGTTTTGGACTCAGGTCTTATCAATAATACTCAACCCATGTGTTCACCAAAATTGCTTGTCTTTGATCTGAATGCCTCAAAATTGCTTAAGCAAGTCCACATACCGCACGATGTTGCCGTAAATAGTACCACAGGAAAGGGTGGATTAGTATCTTTAGTTGTTCAAGCTGAGAGTTCTATGAATACTTTGGTGAGTTTAAATTATAACTGAAATTTTAAATTAGAGATAATAATGTTGCAGTATGATAAAGATAAAATTCATAATTTTCAAAATATTTTTTTAACTTTGGCCAAAGAATTAAAATATACAGTATTTATTTTCGTTTTTATAAAAAAAAAAAAAATGATTTTGTAGCTTTCTTTGATGTTTTAACAGAAAAATCTATATCTCTCACGTTATATTAAATTCTTTTGTAAATTTAAGAATATTTGCTTCGTTTTTTTTACTTGAATCATTAATTAATCATATTTAGATACTTTTACTATTTTGATCAGGAGAATTAATTTTAAAGAACAATTGAATGACTATTTTTTCAAAAGCTATGTATTCTTCAGGAAAATGATCATGAATCACATTCAACTTAAGATTTATAAGAAATGTGTCTATTGAAAGTTACAAAGTCAAGGAAAAATTAAAGATCTATATCAAATATAATTAATCACAATATAAGTTATAATACCGTGATAATAATAATACGACAGGTATACATAGCAGATCACAGTGGTGATGGCTTAATCGTCTATCAAAATTCTGACGATTCCTTCCATCGATTGGCTTCCAACACTTTCGATTACGATCCCAGGTATACCAAAATGACGATCGAAGGAGAAAGTTTCACTATGCAAGATGGAATTTATGGAATGGCACTTAGTCCCGTGACGAACAATCTTTATTACAGTCCTCTCTCTTCTCGCAGTTTGTACTATGTTAACACAAAACCATTCCTGAAATCACAATATGGTGGAAATAACGTCCAATATAAAGGGTGAATATAAAAAAAATTTTTAAATTTTATGAAATAATTCTCTGTTAAATAATACGTACTTTTGATTAGGAATATCTAAATTGTTGTTTCACATTGTCCAATTGTCCATCACATTATCATCTCGCTTCTACCTGCAAATTTAAATTGTTTGTAATTACAATTTTAATACATAAATTTCAGTCAATTGTTCAATCAAAAATTTTTTCCAACTTTTTAGAATTGATGCTTCAAATATACATATTCTACATCTTGTATATTTTTGCTTAATTCTACATATTTTATTAATTTCAGAGTCCAAGATATTTTCAACACTCAATCAACCGCTAAAGCAGTATCGAAAAATGGCATTCTTTTCTTCGGTCTCGTGAATAATACAGCTGTTGGCTGTTTGAACGAGCATCAACCAATTCAGAAAGAAAATACTGTTAGTAACTGCGAATATTTTTTAATCTTCTTTCTTTTCTTCACACTTTTTTATCATACTTTCTCGACACATTTCTTTCAAAACCTACTACTAAATATGATTTCCTCCCGCATGAAAAGAATACATGTCGTTACATTATTCCAATTACTACATTTAACAGAGATACAAGTCACTTGACACGACGCAATGCTTATCTTTGATAAAAAGTCATATGACATAGCAGTCATAGTGAGAATAATATGGTGTCACGTATTCATTTTTATGCAGAAATGAATGGGAGTAGAGATAGTATTTGACAATTCTACCTTCTATTGAAATATTTTTCAAATAGATATACTACTAATGTTTTTCTATATAAGTTAATAATGCTTTCGTTTTTTTTTTTTGCTTTCATTTGAAGAAAATGTTTCTTGAAAAATGGATATAAGTAAAAATGAAATTATTTCGAAATTACAGGATATGGTCGCTCAGAATGAAGAGACACTTCAAATGATCGTTGGTATGAAAATTAAGGAATTGTTACCACATATCGCCATTATTAATATAAATAATGTAATAAACAACGAATATATGTTGGTATTAAGTAACAGAATGCAGAAAATATTGAACAACGATCTTAATATCAACGATATTAACTTCCGAATTTTGATTGGAGGTGTTTCCGACTTGTTAGAAAATACTCGTTGCGCAAATTCTAATATTCAGAATGGCAACAGTCAGAATAACAATTTAAGAATCACAAAACTCATTAATTAATTAGCCATTTCTCGATATATAAACCGAATATTCTTCAAAATTTCTTTATATTATAAATGAATATTTAGAATAAATATTTTCATATAATATTTTTCAATTTTATTGCCCTACTTTTAAAAATTACGATGATATTAAAATGTACTTGTATTTATATTAATCGATATCTCTATCACATTAGATTTAACATGAGTGAATGAATGAATGTAGCGTGAAGTAATATATTAAAAAGTCGAATAAACAATTTGAAAGAAATAGTTCATAATGACATCGAACTTGAAAAATGAATTTCACATTATATTCGTAATATTACACTTTTTCTAATTTTTGTTTAACAATATATTTAGAATAGGAGTTATTTCATAGATTTCAATGCTTTTGCGAAATATTTTGTCAAGGTTATATATTACTTTGAACAATCACATTATTGATTAATTACACAAGGATACATTTCACTTAGATTTCACATCTAAACCTGATTCTTTTTCGATTCTTTCGCTCGTTTTACTAGATCACGAAAACAGAAAGAGAAAAACTTTTTTTATGAGTAAGATGGGAAAAAATATTCGAATTTTCTTCTATGCTATGTATTTTTTACACTTTATCTATTTTATGATTGAGGTTATCACTTACCAACGTCGTTGCAAAATCGTCGAACGAACGTATATACATCGGCTCTTCTACTATTAAAAGTAGTCAAAGTCAAGTCTCACAACATGACGTATTTCTACAACATCAGAAGTATTCTTCTTTCCATGGAAATTCGCCATAAACAATTTGAATTCAGCCATTTTAGCGATTGAGAGGATAGCAAATGACACTGCTAATGATTCTCTTGCGTCATTCCATGAGACGTCTTAATTATTTTCTGTTCTTCTGTTAGTAGTAATTCTATATTATTAAAAGATAAAATATAAAATTTACCTTATTTTATTATCAACGATCTATATTGGGTAATTAAAATAATAGAAATTGCAAAATTGTAATGGAATTCTATTTTTTACCTGCATTATACTTGCATTATTGTAATTTTTAGCTTATCAAATAATCCTCTTAAATTTTATATATATAACACTGCTATTAACCTGCAATAAAATAAATTAATACTTAAATGATGTATGAGGTATGGTATGGTATTAACAATCGATGATAATTTATAAATTTTAAGAACATAAACAAAAAAAATTTTCAAATTCAAAAGAGCAAAAAACTTATAACAGTTATAAATTTTGCTAGTTATATAATCGAAAAACGTTGCAAAAATGTAATTGCGGCTATTTGCTAAGTATTGCTATTATTAAATATTATATCGATATACATAGAATGTTGATAATACATTCCTGATAAATTTTAAGTAAACATAAAAAATTGGTATACATAACTTATCACTTATTACTCATTTATTAAATTATAAGCACTTCAAGCTGAAATGAGAGAGAACAGAGAAATAAACGGTATAATTAAATATAACAAGCAAAACATCGTATCGTTTTCATTTAATTGGATTTAAATTATAATACTATATCATATTATAACTTTTTACACACCTTTTAAAACATTTTCGCGTCAATATAAACAAATTTTGAAAAAGCACACAATTCATTTTATCTCTGCAGAATATAGATCATTACTATATATATATTGCCCAACCGTGACAATTCGTTACAATTCAACAGTCGCTGCAGTTCAGATATATACTGCATTACATTCCTTAAAATTAATTGTCGGTCGTAAAATATCTCACGCGTATGCCTCAGTTCTGGTATTTATTAAAATTTTTTATCTTTTCGACGAGAGCAAATATTTTTCAGAAAAATGATAAAGTGGTTGCTGCTGATGTATCTTGGAATAGCTCGTCAAGGCGTTGCGGATATCCATTCAAGAAATTTGACAAATTCGTTGGAAGTCATTTACGAATGGAAATACTTCGATTACGATTTCGGTAGTGACGAAAAGAGACAAGCTGCCATTCAATCTGGCGATTACAATTATACAATGAATTATCTTTTCGACACCGATCAATGGGGCGGTAAATTATTTTAAAACGCATTTTACATTCCGCAATATTTCTTCATTATTCTTCAAATTTTTCGATTATTATCATCACTTCAAAAATGTCCCATGTTCTCCTTTTTAGATAAGACTTTTGTCATCATAATGAAGTTTAATGGCGTGCCTTCTTCTTTGAACGTGATAACTAACAAAACTAGCAACGGTGGACCTCTTCTGGCACCGTATCCTGATTGGACGTGGGCGGAAAATGAAAATTGCACTGGTATCATGAGTGTTTACAAGATTGAGGTAATTATAATAGAAACTTTTTCTATAGTTACAAAATCAAAATTAATGTTCTTTTTTCAAGTAAAAAAATGTTCAATTTACGTACGATATTTAGATCGATATATGTGACAGATTGTGGGTCTTGGACTCAGGTCTCATCAATAATTTTCAACCCGTATGCCCTCCGAAACTCCTTGCCTTCGATCTGAATTCCTCACAATTGTTAAAGCAAGTTAAAATACCGCACGACATTGCTGTGAATACCACCACAGGAAAAGGAGGTCTGGTGACTTTAAGTGTTCAACCGTTGAGTTGCGAAGTGAATGGATCCACTCTCGTAAGTTTCAATAAATGCAATTCCATTTTTCCTGAAAAATTCTTAATTTTAACATCATAATTTATGATCTGTATATTTAATTTTTTTTGTAAATTATATTATTTAATTAGAAATTTTAAAAATTAATCGATTGAATTGGTTATTTTTATTTCTATAAATTTTAATAATCTTATTCCAAAATGACAAAAAAATTCTTAATCAAAATAGATGATATTTTCTAAATAAAACATAAAAATTTTAATAAAATTGAAAAATTAAAATTTACAAAGTTATAAATAATTCGTTTTTTTTTTTAAACGAATGACTCTTGTTTACTAACGTGCTGCCTGAAAACATACGATTATCTTATCATTCTTTATTTTATTACGTACGAAAGATTGTCTGCTCGTGCATTTCCTTTTTTACTGTTGGTTATGTGTTCAATAATTATCATTTGTTTATTTCATTTAATGCAAATGTATAAAAAGTAATCCATAAAATTAGTATAGAAACATATTTGTGCATGCCTGTTATTTAAAAATTAATATTAAAAAATGAAAAATGCAGTTTGAATGTCAAAAATATCATTTTTTAAATGATAAAGAAGTATTATACGAAAGATAATAATTTTGTTATCAAATCTATATTTATTTTAGCAAGTAAAATGCCAGAATGCATTATAAGAATCATTTTATCGAATGAAATAAATGAAATAAATCATACTTACTAAATTAGAAATAAGAAAAATATATAATTAACGTCAACAGCAATAGGCACAACGAATTTCACATTGTTCATAGCTTTGCATAACTTTGCTAGACAATACTAATCATATGCGCATGCGTATAACTAGTGTCATCTATCCAAGTTCTAACTTCAATCTTTTCGAATGTCATACAAGATGGCATTAGTTATACACAAACGTACATTATGTTGTCCTTAGTAGAAGATTACCAAACAGATTTGTATGAAATATATAAAATATTTATATATGATATATTATCTATTTATATGAAATTTTAGTATAAAGTTCTTTAAAATTTAATACAAGTATTTGTAGTTTGTACATATAAAATAACACTTTTTTATTTGATATTTTAAATGCAGTAGCTATGAAAATGAACAAATTATTTAAAAACATTTTTGATGCACGTTTATTTTTCTTTATTACGTGTATTATATTTATGTTTATTTTTCCTTATTTTCATTATATTATTATAATATCGAATAAAATTAAAACTAAATTAATTAACTTTCGTGCAATAATGCAACAGGTGTATATAGGAGACGACAGAGGTTTCGGTTTAATTATCTACAACAACTCAGATAATTCTTTCCAACGATTGACTTCGAATACCTTCGCAAGTGATCCTAGATACACCACACTCACGATCAATGGGGAGAGTTTCACATTGCAAGATGGAATTTTTGGAATGGCATTAAGTTCTCTGACTCAAAATCTTTATTACAGCGCTCTGACTTCTCACAGATTGAATTACGTCAACACGGAACAGTTCATAAAATCACAATATCAGGCGAATAACGTGCGTTATCAAGGGTAAACATGTGGATAAGTAATGTTCTTAACATTATTCGTGTTATGCATCAATATATATGTATAAATATATGTTAATATATTTGTGCAATCTTTTTTGGAAAATCGATTCTATATAGATCGAAACAAAAGTTGAAGAAATTAAAAATTGTTAACTTTTGTTTTAACTCTCTAGAATCGATCTTAAAGCATCTGTTAAAACATTTTTCTACATTTTTATCAATTTCAGAAAAGAAAATATTTTATGGACTCAAGCATCGGCTAAAGGAATATCGAATAATGGTGTTCTCTTCTTCGGACTTGTGGGTGATACATCTCTTGCCTGTTGGAACGAGAAACGATTACTTGACAGAGAAAATATCGTTAGTCATATTTTTTTTTTTTTCTAAAATACTTCCTCTGAAATACAAATACACTTTTCTTCTAATGAAAAATTTCTTTATATATAAGTTAATAACACTTCTTTTTTATGCAATAAACTAATAATAGATTTGTCTCTTTGGTTAAATCAAAGATGGCTGCGTGAATTTTTAAAGCCATCAGGTAACTTTTGATTAAATGATCATATCGATCGATCAAAAATAAACTAATTGAGAAACTAGTTGACTAATTAATTGAACGAATTTCAACTTTGTTGATCAATTTAATTCTTGAACTAAGAAAAATCCGATATAATTTTCAATTAAACGATTAAAAAATGTTCTTAACTTGATCTGTTTGGATTGTGATCAAATCAAAAGTTGCTTAATATAAAAAATAATTTCATTGAAAATATTTAATTTAATAATCGAATCAATATACATGTATTTCCACACCGGTAAATATATTTTAAAAAATGAAATTTATTTCGGAAAATTACAGGAAGTGGTCGCTAAGAATAAAGAAACTCTTCAAGCCATTATTGGTCTTAAAGTTAAAACAAAACTCCCAATAATCCCAATCGTTATACATGGATTTCCTGTTGTATATGAATATGTGTTGGCTGCAAGTAACAGAATGCAAAAACTATTCCACGGTTTTGATTTCAATGAGGTGAATTTTCGAATTTTAACTGCGAATGTGGACGACTTGATAAAGAACACTCGTTGCACACCTTCTTCAATCAATCCTTTCTAAATCAAATGTATTGATTTAGATAATTTGTATATATAATAAACAAATTCTAACGAAATAAAGGATTTTTGTGTAAAGGATTTTTCAATTTTATTCTAATTTTTAAGGATTGTTGTTGTTTTAATAATTATTTAAAATAACTTTATCAGTTTCGATGGCCTTCATTGGAGATCATATTATCAAGATTATCATTTTGAACAACTTTTTTGGCATGGGTTAATTATTAATTAAATCAAAGTACACCGATTTTACGTTCTACTTCTAACAATTATCTCTTATACCGAGAGGAAAACATTTTTATGAGATAGAAATGTTTTACTTGCATGTTTGCTATTGCAAAAGCGAATGTACGTGAAAATTTCATTTTTGTTCTAGCAATTGATAAGGATAATTGTGTGACAATTAAATATAATAATTAACTGGGCACTGTTCTTAAATTCTTGAATTATATAATACATATGAGCGTATTGAATAAAATTATACAAATTAACGTTATACGTTAACAACAATTTTTATGAAAAGATAAAATTTTTTTATACTTCTATTGAAAATTCTACTGACTTCAAAAGGCTTCAAAAGTAATTACAGGGTGAATCATAATATCGAGATATTTATACAAATAATAATTTAATATAAATTATTTAATTTTTCAAAAATAATAATGAATTGACATTTAAAAAGAGATTAGTATTATTTGTATATTTTTATATTCTCTAATATATACAATATACATATAATTGTATAATTATATATATAATATGTATAATATTCAATAACTGAAATCAATTAATAATCAAATAATCAAAGTAAGTATTATATTGTTAAGTAGTTATAATATATTATTAGCATTTCAGTATATGTACAATATTACTATTTTTATGAATTAGATTATATACGTTATAACATTGTTTTAGATATAACATTTAGACTACCATTTAACTTAATCAAAAGGAAAAAATGAAGTCACTTTTTTAATCTATCTAATTGAGATAGATCCAGCAATCGTATTTATTGATTAGTATAATATTAATTATATAAGAATAAATTAAACTAATTTAAAATTGAATCAAATTGAATCACTCTAAATTAAATTTTGTAAAATGCAATATCATATTATTTATATATTATATAAATAAGTCGAATTCCTCCTAATATCTATATACAATATTACATTATAAAAGATAAATGACACCATTAAGCAAAAAAAAAAAAAAAAAAAATAATCTTGAAATGAAATTCTTAAAATGAAGAATTCTGAAATCCCATTTCATCATTTTTTTTTTTTTTTCAATAACAGAGAAAATAAATTAAATTTAAATATAGAGATAATGTGCATGACATTAACCTTTTCTAAAATATTCTTAAAAGAATTAAAGTAATAATTGTTCAAGAACAATGTATTTTTTTGCATAATTGCCAAATTGGATTCTCAAGTGAAACAGTTACATTTTAAAATCTTGTTCCTCAACAATTACACTATTATAGTTTATATAAATTTCTAATTATGCAATTGCATTCTTATAACTGTATGGTTATATATTACGTTATAGAGAATATTTTTCAATTAAAATGAATTTTTCGCGATTAAAATAAATCATTGTAGATTGAAGTCTCGATTGGGAATGAATTTTCTATCGCTACCGACATTTTTGGATTTCCAGGAATCTTAATTTTAAAACGGTGATGTAAGACTCAAGAAATGGAGATTTCAAAAAAGCTGATTTGATTGATTGCTATTATTTAATAGTAAAGATTACTTCATCTTTTAACATATTAAATTATTTTTCATGCTAGAACAGAAGGAAAAAATTATACTATTTCTAATTTTTTCATTTTGCAATGAAATTAATTATTACATAACAATATTATTATATTATTATGCAATTATAAATGTTATCGAATGCAAATATCTATCAATTCGAACTAGACGAAGTAAAAGTAAAGAAAGAATGATTATGAAATCATTAAATATTAGTAGTTTGATAAAATCTTTATTAGATTTAATGGAATGTTTCATAATAAAATATTCTGTCTGAAAGTAAAGAAAATATGGGAAATTGAATGTGAATTGACCAGTTGCAGTTTATCACATTGCTTAATTGAAATGTAAATTATTATATAAATAAATATAAATATAAATTATATAAAAATTATATAAATAAATGTTATATAATGTGTGTAAAATACGTATTGAACGTTTTTAGGAAATAATTTGAAAAAGCAAGTTTTCTTAAAAAAAAAAAAAAAAAAATAAAATAAAAAACTTTCCAAAGTGAAGAAATATGTTTCAAATATCTATCGTTTGAATTATAGTTGTACTATATAGTATAGTTATAATTTTTTTATGCGATTATAAGTGTACAAAATAATAGAAAGTATTAAAATGAATTATTATTAGTTTGACTGTATCGATAATTATTTATACTAATTCGAATAATTAGTTGAGCAATTTTTTTTTAAATGTTATTTTTTTTCTTTTTTAAATGTCATTTAACTCATATTCAAGTTGAAACAAAACAAAAAGGCAATTGAAAATCGACGAGATACATTTAATAATGAATAAATAAATTTCAATTTTCAATTATTTTCAATTTTTTTTCTCTTGTTTGTTTAATTATTCAACCATCTATTTATATTTACTCAAACTTGTTATGCGTGAATTTCTATAACCTATAATAACCTATAACCTATAATAATTTAATTATTAATAATAAAGATTATTCTACCCTTATTTTGCCAAAAAGAAAATTTATTTAATTTATTGCATAAAAATTATTGGTATCTTCCAATTGTCTGAAAAATTTTTAAAATTAAATTTTATTAATCCTTAACCAATCCAACCACTTGTGACAAATATTTCCGAAAATACAAGTGATATTTCAAAACTACAATTGGATGTGGATTAAAAATAATCCATATAGCCGATTCAAGAGAGCAAGAATTATAAATCCAACGAATTATCCATTTCTATTTTTTTATTTATTTATAACTTTAATCTATTTCTGTATCTCTTTATAAATATAGAAAATAATTGCCCGTTTATTTATCATCCAACCAGTTGTCGAGAATACATATACACTGCATTTCCACTTGTTTCAAATTTATCTACTTGAATTCTTTACAAAAAAAAAAAAATTTCAAACGAGTCGCACTGCTTTACTATAATTTTCACGTAATTCTTTTAAATGATCCGTAATGAGAGAGAGAGAGAGAGAGAGAGAGAGAGAGAGAGAGAGAGAGAGAAA